TGCTGGCGATCGCAGTGTCAGCGCGCCCGATTTACCTCACACGGACGATGCCTCCACGACCTGAGGTTGTGGAGGCTTTTCGGGACTGGGACACGAAGCTGGAAGATTGTTTCGAGGAGCTGTTTCCAGATAGTACCTGGGATCACGATTCGGGGAAGTCTCAGATGGCTCGTTTACAGCTGCACCTTCCTGCCAGACTCGGAGGGTTTGGCATTCGATCTGCGGCTGACCTTAGTCCTCTGTCGTATGCATGTGGCTGGTGCCAAGCAGTGAGCGATGTGGCTCGGTTGGGGGTGGCAGGTGAGGAGCGGATGTTTGAGGAGTTTTTCCGCACGCCCGAGGCTACGACCTTGTTGGACCCCTGGTTTGCGAGAGCAGTGGATCTGCTTCCACAGTCGGTCCGGCAGGAGATGCCACCTCTTGCATTGTGCACTACTGACCCCCCTGTGCTGCTCTTCTCCACACAACACCGTCGCCTAGCGGTTGAGAGCCTTCAATCTCTTCGAGGCATGGCCCACAACGATGCCACCTTGGCCCGTTTGACATCCCTTCAGGGCCCGGGGGCTGGGGCGTGGGTTTCTGCCGTTCCTTCGCACGAGGAGGCTACCTTCACCGCAGCCGAGTGGAGCATCTGCGCGTCCATGCGCTTAGGCCTCCCTATACAGCAGCTGATAGTGGCCGGCAAGTGCGCGTGTGGGTTTGAGTTTGCTGATCCCTCTGACCCGCATCATGCCCTTCGCTGCAAGTATCAGTATGCACCTTCTCGTGTTCACGATGCGGTTAAGTTTGTGGTGGCGAAGATAGCTAAGGGTGCGGGTGGGATTGTGACCATGGAAGACGACACGTTGCTCCCAGGGAAGAGGGTTGATGTGGCGGTTCGGAAACTGAGGGAGGGGGAGGAGCACGCGCTGGAGGTTAGTGTGGTAGACCCTATCTCGCTATCCGCGCAGCACCATGGACAGATTGGGCGCAAGGTGGGTTTTGCCGCGAGAGAGAGAGAAAAGCGGAAGGCGGCGGACTACAAATCGCTTCTACAGCGGCATAGGGGAGTGCAGTTCACACCTCTCATTGCTGAGACATGGGGATGCTTGGGGGGGAGTTTTGGACGGTGGCTTAAGAAGCAGGGTGACGCGCAGATCGAGATAGCAAAGACGAAAGGGGCGGCGCGAGCTACGGGAAAGGGTTTCTCGGCTTATTTGCTCGGTTCACTCAAAGCGGCCGTGGGTGTGGCTTTGCAGCGGGCTCAGGCGCGTGTGATCTTGTTACGCGCGGCGTCGATGATGAGAGGTCCAGAGGCTGTTTGGGTGGAGCGGGAGGATGTTGAGGAGGAGATGGGATGGGATGCTCCGTGGGCGGATGCACCCTACTTGGTAGACATGCGGGTTTAGAGGGTGGGTTTAGGGGGGGGGTTTTGGTTCGATGGGAGTGCAGTTGGGGTGTTTTGATGGGATGGTTTGATGGGGTTTCAATTGTGTGTGCTATTGGGGTTTTCTTGATGTTGTGTCTTGTGTTTTTTCTTCCCTTTTCCCGGGTTTTCCTCCTCCGACCATTTTCTCCCTATTCCCTTCCTTCTTTCTTCTTCTTTCCTTTTTTCTCCTCACGTTATTCCTCCTTTTACCAACACATCCTACTTCGAAGAGTAATCGGTGAGTTCAAGGTTGGTAAAAAGGTTGTGCTGCCGCCAGAGAACGTATGTGTTTTAAAGGTACACTTCTGTAGCTCAGAATCTGATATTCATTATTGAAATATTCTGAAGAAAAAAAAAAAAAACAATAGGACTTCGATACAGAAAACGTGTGGCGGTAACAATTGTTATTGAATATCAGTGAGACCTTGCTGTCAGCAGTGTGCCAGGCGCGGCTGGTCGGGAAATTACAGAGTGAAATCGTTCCGGTGCCGGAACTGGCAGTGTAATTTTAGCGAACACTTTTCTGTAAGAAACATCCATAAGGAAGAGTGGTTGAGCTGGGGGAAATTCCTTGGACCTGAAGTGGCACATCCCTCGGGTTCTTTAGGCCAATTCCTCCTAAAGTATCCATGCCTTTTCGAGTAATTTAGCCTGTTTCGTGATTGTTTCAGCAAATCAGCCACCCCAACAGCAGGAAAGATAACGCATTGTTTTTCAAGAGGCGGGAGTATTCAACAGGGCGCATATCAAGCCACGTAGGGAAAGGCATTGCGGTACATTTGGAGGACGCTGCATTTGCAGGATGGAATAACTAACTCTGAAAAGCTGGCCAAACAGGGTAACATGCCCTGCTATCCCGAGCCCTGCTCAGCAGCCCAACCCACATTCGACGATTACCGTAGCGCATTTCACGGCAGGAGGCCGCGATTGACACCTCCTCAGCCTCGCGACTCGTTTTCTTGGACCACGCTAGCAGAGCCGCCTATAAATCCCGCCACTAAACACCCTCAATCCATCAGTCTAAAATCCTCTTCTAACTGTCTGTTGTCAATATCTCCCAGCTACTCATTCACGTTACAACGCCATGGCTCGTTCCATTCTCTCCGTCGGTCTCGCGCTCTTTCTCGCTGCGACCCTGGCACTCTCTTCCGCCCAAGGTACGGGTCGTACTACTTCCATATCGCCGCGAAACCCAAGCCGAGGCCCTGTGGTTGAATCCCTCGCGCCGCGCTTATGCATTGCATATACTCTCTCCTCGCGCCGCCCTCATGTAAATCGTTGCATTGCAGCCCACCCACTCCCACACGGCACACTTGGCTCAACGCAGTTTTCATCCTCTCACTCCCTGAACCTGCCCCTAACCTACCAGCAACGAGTGCATCGACAGGCGTCGTTACGGCAGAAAACGCGGCGATTATCACCAAGTCCAGCGAACCTCGCGAGCAGCGCCACCGCAAGCTGCAGGCTGGAGTGAAGACTGCATCTGACAGTACGATCATGAGACAGATACAGTCTGCTAGTACCGACGATCCAAACGCAAACCGAACGATTAGGTCCTCTCTCGTTTCCCGTCTGTGCGTTTCTGTCCGGATTTCCGGACGGCTCTTCTCTAAGTGTTTATGTTTTTCCATGCGGATTGTGAGGCGGAGGCTTCCATTTCCAGCAGCAGTGAGACTACGCCTGCCTTGCTGCCGCGTTTTACCTTAGTAGGCCTAAAAAGTCACTTGCATGTTCCTCGAATTCCCTATCCTGCCTGCCATCACCAGGCACTCCATGCAGTGTTGTGAACACGCGGACGGACGGCTCCTGCTCTGGTGGAAGGGGGTGCATTTCTACTCTTACTAGGCAGCGTCTGGACTGTGGTATCCCGCTTCCTACCCAGTGGGTACGTCACAGAATTGGTGGACGGGCCGTCACGTGCATCTCTTCCCTTGCTTCCCGTCACTCTCACATGCCATGCGATCTGGTTTATCAATCTCACATGAATGCTCCTCGCATGCCAGATGCCCATTCCAGTGCAGGGTAGAGGTAGACCACCTCAACGTGTGTGCACATTCTGCGGAATTTCCCTTGCTTCCTTCCCTTGCCTCCCTCAGGGTCCTAATACTGGCCTGGTGCGTGGCAACCAAAACCGGGACGACCCAAATGTGCCTCGAATTGGCGGCCCTGTAGAAGCAAATTCTATCGCTAGTTACTTCCCGTGACTTCCTGATGTTTCTTGGGTTTCTTGCTAGTGTTTTCTTGTAGGTGCTTGTGTCGTATTGTGTTTAGCCCATGTGGTGGGTGGGTGCTTAGGAGAGAGAATACCTCAATATTTTGTACTTGGATGTGAATATGTCTTTACTGTGATTATATGTGCATCTGATAATCATGCGTTTTGACCGCATGGTATGGCCTGTATTCGAGCTTTCGCTTTAGAATACAATGCGGAGCAGGGGGCCAACCCGACCCCACCTCGATTCCCACAGCCACGCCAAACGCTTAAAACCCAGTCGCAGTGAAAATGTGTGTTGACTGCTATGATGAAGCAGCCTGCCGTGCCCTACGCAGTGTCTGCAGCCCCTGAGGCACCCAGGCCACGCGGGAGTGCGGAGAAAGGGGAGTGTGCGGGGAGATGGGGGTGTGGGGGAGAGGTGGGAGCGCGTGAGAAAAGGAGTGGCAGGAGTGAGGCGAAGAGAGGAAGGGAAGAAGGGTAGTGCAGGGGTTGAACTTGGATCAAAGACGCCGCACCTTACAGATGAGAGACATAGGTTGGGACTGAGACTCGTAGTCAAGGCTGGGTGGGTGAAGTGTTTTTGGAGAGTCGTGGTGTGGGTGTTTGTGATGTTGGGTGGGTAGGCTTATAATTTAGGATGATGTGAATGTTCTGTCAGAATCCCAGCCACTAACCACTGGGATAAAAGGGCTTGTTTGTGTAGCGGGTGAGTGCGCCCATAATCCCCCAGGCCGCCATGCCTGTAACCCTTCCCTAGGATCAATCGGGGATCACCAGTGGCACTCTGACACCCCCCCGCACTGGGATGCCTGAAGTGCACACACCGGGATTCGAACCCGAGACCTTCGCTCTGATACCATGTCAGAATCCCAGCCACTAACCACTGGGATAAAAGGGCTTGTTTGTGTAGCGGGTGAGTGCGCCCATAACCCCCCAGGCCGCCATGCCTGTAACCCTTCCCTAGGATCAATCGGGGATCACCAGTGGCACTCTGACATGTTCTGTTTGGGAATCATTTATTACCATATTTTTCTAGACAACTGCAAACTGGTTTGGTTGGTAGCTAGCCGGTGAAGGCTCCATCAAGGTCATCATCAGTGACAGACAACGTTACTACAGTGCAAATGTAATCAAACTCTGCAGCAAGCAAGTGGAAAAATGCTCTGGGGTACTGGCCTCAAGACCTTGCTGGAGTACCAGCCTTGAAGCGGGGAGTGGTTGCAGCGATGCTATGACAATACCGTAGCTATATACCGTAGACGGATGCCAGGAGGGCAGTATGAACAAGGGTGTATAGTCCTTGTGTTCACTGTCAGTGGGTCAGTAAAACAGAGGTGGTTTGATGACTTCAGCTGAAAATCAAGGCTGGCAGAGGCATCAACGCTGCAGCTGGCAGTGCAGCAGGCCGCTGAGAGGGGAGCGGCAGAGTGGGCAGCTGTTATTCTGCTGACGATGCTGTGCCATGCAGTCACCACAAAACTGGAAGTGCACTGGAGCGTTAGGGGATCGGCAGGGGGATTTTGAGACAGGGGGGGCAAGGTCGGGGTGAGTGGGAAAAGAGTGGGGGTTCAGGGGGAGAGAGGAACAGACAAATAATTGTCGCCCATAAGGCAACGAGCAGAAGACGCGGACGAGCATGCAAATTGGGATGAGTGCCAGTAACTTACTGCATGGGAGAACGAGCACGTTCCGTTCCTGCAGGTAAGGCAAGCCGGAAAAAGAAAGCAGGTGATGGGGTATTGAGTTCAAGATGGTAGCAGACGTTACTACCACAAGTAACGGTATCAGCAGCGTATATACAAAATAAATACATCAAACCTATTGGTGATCAAGCACATCCCAACTCGTGCGCATTGATGAAATGCATTCTCATGTGTGGATGTAGAAAATAAATCAAATTCAGTAACGCAGCACAATGACAAGCAAAGCGAGGAACGGTGTAGCACATGCAGCAACTGGGTTGAGCAGACCACTGGTGAAAAAGGCCTACCTTGGTGTAGCAGATGCGGCAAGTGCTGCGATCCCTCTCCGCTTCCTGCCATAGTGTTGGCAAGCAGATTGGAAAAGAAGGGTACCATCATGCGGAGTGCAACACACCATGCCATGTTCAAACAGCCAAGGCGTATGGAACAGCAACACGCAAACAGCCGAGTCCCAGAATAATTGAGCAGGTGATGAAGGAAAAGCCAGCAGCAGGGATTGCACAAACACAGGCGAAAACGAGAACTATTACTTGGGGAAGGAGCAAGGACACAAGAAGAAAACTAGAGAGTGAAATGCCTGAAAGTGCGGGTACAATGAAACAGTAGGAGAGCAGAGCAGCAGCCAGCATCCAGCAACAACGCCCAGCCTCGGGGCACCTCAAGATGGCACCCACCAGCAGAGCGGCAACGGCAGCATGCTGGCTCCTCTCCTCGCCAAGCTCCCTCTCCAGCCGCCTACACCGCTGCTGCCTCACCTCCGCCTCCTGCCTCGCCCTCTGTGCTGCTGCTAGCTCTCTGCGCGCTGCATGCCTGGCAAGGACAGGAAGGAAAAGGGAAGGAAGGATGAGTGAGGTGCGGGAACGGAAGGGAAGACAGTGTAGGAGGATGCGGAAAGAGATGGCATTGAACATGTAATTGACCATGAAACGATATGCATGTAATGCCCTGACACAAGTCCCACTTTACTCACCACGCACTCTCTCATGAACAATAACATGTATCCTCTCATACAGCACACGATTTCTCACAGACAAGCACACAGACACTATCACCCAGCCCCACTCCTCCACCCCCCACCCCCCCCGCACACACAGTCTCCTTTCACCGCTCTCTCTAAATCACGGAGTGCATGGACGTGCCCACCACATCAGCAGCCGCTCAGTTGCATGCCACACACACGCACACACGCACGCACGCACGCACGTACCCATGCGCGCATTGCCTCCTCTCACTGCTCTCTCTGGATGACGGAGTGCATGGACGTGTCCACCACACGCAACAGCCGCTCAGTCGCAAGCCCCCACACCCCCCCCCCCCCCCCCCCCCCCCCCTCCCCCCCCCCCTCACACACACGCGCACGCATGCACGCACGAACGTACCCGTGTGCGCGCGCGCACACACACAGTCTCCTCTCACCGCTCTCTCTGGATGACGGAGTGCATGGACGTGTCCACCACACGTAGCAGCCGCTCAGTCGCATGCCGCAGCACCACCAGCTCCCGGTAGCTTGCCCGCTCCGCACGCTGCTCGTCCACCAGCAGGAAGGCGCTGCAGCAACAAGATCGTAATGGTGGTGGTGAGGAGGAAAGAAGAGAAATTGGCAAAAGGACGAGCAACTGTGACATGGTGACATTGCTGGTGTCATTGTGTCAACTGTCATTGTGGCATGGTTTCATGCGACTTGTGTCGCTCCTCCTGGGGTTCTGCCTCCCTGCCATCCTGCATTGACCTTCATTAACAGCACATGTTCCTCACCTGTCTTGCGCTATCCCTTTCTCACACCCCCCTCACCTGTCCCCGTCTCACCCGTTCTGCACGGTGCGCATATAGTCAAGGTTTTTCTCATATGGCCGGTACAGCTCCTCCAGAGCCCGCCTCGCTGCCACCTCCTCAAACCCGAAATGCTCCTCCGCCTCCATGCACAGGCGGTCCTGTGCAGACAATTTCCAGGAATAATCAACACCACCAACTTATAACTACGGCATCGCCGGCCTGGCCCTTCGACCAAACAGGCACCTTCCAGTGCCAACCCGTAGCCGATTTTGAAATTAAGTTAGTTGTTTTGCACTTGAGAACACATTTGCACCAACGAAGAATTTTGCCTCATACCTGAAGCTGAGCTTCATTCCACTTTCTCAACTCTTCCTCCTGGTTAAATGTCTGAATTCAGGGAAAACACGGAAAAGTAAACAGGACGAGGAAGAGGGGGAAACCAGGAACTTGGAATCAGGTTCAAGGTCTAAGGCACGGAACACGCTAAAATAAGAGCCAATAACGGCCAACCAAAGAAAAATGTCAATCTATGTTGGAAGAGACTGATTCTGGAAAAACGAACGCGAGTAAAATCGACTTACAAGCTGCTTGGCCAAGAAATGCAATATCTCACGACAATCACAAAATTCATCACGGCGAGAAAAAGCAAAAAAACAATGCATACTTCCTTGTCATTTCCTGTGGTTTCTCCGCTGGCCGTCCTTGCAAAGCAGGATATCCTTCAATGCATAATTCAGCACAAAATTTTGTGTGAATATTGATCATGGCCGAGTATATAGAGAGTCTAACCTCTACTTCTTCGGTAACTTCTATCGGCGGTGGATCGTTTGCGAGATTCATGATCTCGATGGCCTCAATTTCCTCCTCCATCTCCAGAAACGCCTCTTCCTGCTGCGTCGCTGGTCGCATGGCTAACGGCAACGATGAGCGATACGTAATCGTAGAACGGTGGCTACAGACGACTCTAATTAACTGAAAAAGAGATCGTACTGGACTAATGTGTAACAACTTTCATCCTGAATAATCAATAACCTACATTTATAGCTCCCCCATCACAACGCTCCGAGCTACATTGACGTAGCATTGGTTCAAGCGACACAAACTGCTCGTCAAGAAGTTTGCTGATGCAGTGGGCTAGACTACCATGGATATGCGCTTGACTGCAGAGGCTTCCCATGTGGACCGAGTTTCATCTGTTGTGTGGTTTGTTTCTGTAGTTGGGCTAGGCGATTGTTGGGCTGGGACGGAAGCACAAGTGATTGGCCGCCTCCCGTGTTCCTGTCAGGTTTCCATGTTGGCGTCAACTGGACGATATCCCCGTTTCAAGGTGTCAATAAGTTGGTCATCGTAGGTACCCAATGAGATAACCATAAACTCGGAATCTATTAAACAAAAACCGGAGGTAACACTTCGCCTAGTCAAAAATGACTACATACAGGGGGGAGGCTAAATGCGCATCCAACTAGGAAAACTACAATACAAACGTCCTACGTAACACTTATCAAGCGTGCATCCTAGCGCACGTCATATCCGCAATTAGGCACTAAAACCACACAAGTGAATGCCACAAGCACTCATCACAACCGCCTCAAGTTGTCTAGCCGTGCCTGCAAGTCACTGTCAATCCCAGAATCATCCGATGCACCACCAACCGACGGGGCTGCTGATGGGGCACTGGGCATACCACCACCCCCACCACCGCCACCGCCACCATCACCACCGCTGCTACCACCACGACCAATTCCACCACCACCTCCCCCTCCGCCGCCCCCACCAGCACCCACTGCATCTGCCTGTGCCACCTTGCCTGTTGTCTGTGCCTGTGGGGCTGCTGGTGTTGGCGCGTTCATGAGCTGATAATGGAAGAGGGGGTGGTGGAAGGAGGGTAGGGATGGGAGGATAAGATAGGTTGTGAAACGAGCCGTGGCCGAGGATTGCAAAGGAGGGATTGCGAACCAGGCATATGTGAGACCACAACAATGCCATGAAACACACCATCGCAAATCAGCCAACCGGAAGGACAGTGCCATGGGATTCGAGGAGGCAGCATGCAGGACAGCACAGGGCAGAATCACCCTCACTGCATGCTCGAAGCAGCACCTGCCTCCTGGCCATGCAGCGAGGTCCAAGGAGCACCCATCTGCTCCAGCAAGCACGCACCTGCTGGTTGATGTCAATGATGATCTCATCCAGCGAAAAAGCTTTTTTCGTTTCCTCCTCCTTTCCGCCTTTCCTTATTGAGCAGACTAGAGATCATTGATGGCCATCCAGAGAGCACCCACCTGCTGGTTGATGTCAATGCCGATCTCATCCAGCACTTCATTGATCAGCTCCTCCGTCTCCTCCTCCTCCTCGTCGCCCTCCATCGCATCGTCTATGGCGTCGCCCATCATCTCCGAGGTCATCTCCATGCGCTCATTCGCCATCTCAAACTCCCGCATCACCTGCACACGGATGGGCAGACGGACGCGGAAGCATACAGAACAGTTCAGGGTGTGTGGAAGCAAGCAGTGCCACTCAGTGCCTCTGATTCTATCTTTATGCACTCATTCGCCATCTCAAACTCCCGCATCACCTCCACCCAAGCGCACACGCAAATGGAGCTAGTCATGCCTGGCACGTTCTTCATCTCTTAACAAAAACAAAGCCTGTGCATAGCATGATGGCAATCCTTTGCGACATACTCACGCAACACCTCACATGGCGCCATGCACATCAGGCTTGGGTTTGGGCTCGGGAGTACTCATTGCTGCAATACACGCTATGCCTCGCCACACCTCTTGCTGAGCTGGCAAGTAGAGCTGCTAATTCATGGATCGGATGGCCTTGGTCACCCCCTTGATGGCATCAAACACATCCCAACTGGGTAAAAACGGACTCTCTTCCGACTCACCTTTTGCAGAGCCGGCAGGTTGAGCTGCTTGTTCATGGATCGCATGGCCTTGCTCATCTCACCCCCTTAATCGCATCAAACACATCCCATCTGGTAAAAACAGACTCTCTTCCAACTCACCTTCTGCAGAGCTGGCAGGTTGAGCTGCTTGTTCATGGATCGCATGGCCTTGGTCACTCCCCTCATTGCGTCCGCCATAGCTTGGGTGGACTTAAGGGTCTGCAGGGACAGGGAAAGGGAAAGAGGGGAGCAATGGGGAAAGGGTGGAGTGGGGTGGGTAAAGGATGGGAGTGGGGTGGGGAGGGGGGAAGAAAGGGGGGGGGGGGGGGGGGGGGGGGGGAAGAAGGGTGCTAAGGTGCCTGAATTATTTCCCCATGACTTGGACAGCCTTGTGGGTCTGCTGGGCTGGGGCGCTGCGGGGAGCGCAGGCGGGGGGGAGGATGGAGACAAGAGGAAGGGGAAAGGAAGGGAAAGACGAGGTAAAGGTGGGTGCAGGGTGAGGGGTGAAAGGGAGAGGGGAGAGGTGAAAGAGCATCAGGGAAGGGGGGAGATGAATGAAGAAGAGGCTGTTACAAAAGCACATGAATGATGGCAGTAACTTCCATGTGTCACGAACAAAGAAGAGCGAAACAAAAGCCCAGAAACACTTGCATCACTTTCGCAAAAAAATCAGAAGAGGGACGCTAGCACGGACATAGAAGGGCGAAGCAAACGCTCAAAATGGCTGAAAAAAAGCAGGAGGATGGCATCTGGAGTGGAGTATGTAATGTGTGTCTTACCTGTATCCGCAGGGACACGCCCTGCAGCTGTGACTTGAGCCCGTGGAACTTGGTGAGTTAAATTTGAGGCGGGTGATTAAATTTTGAAAAGGGTAATCTGGTTTTGAGGCAACTCAAAACTAGAATTCTCACCTGTATCCGCAGGGACACGCCCTGCAGCTGTGACTTGAGTCCGTAGAACTTGGTGATCTGATGCCGCGTGCGAATCAAGTCCTTGGCCATCACCCGCACTGCGCCCTGTTTCACGGCAGGGCATGTGAGGTGAAAAGGAGGGGGGATGGGACTGGGACTGAGACAGAAGGAGAAGGAAGCATGGAGGGGAATAGAGGGATGAAGGTGAATGGAGCTCATTGCTGCATGTGTACACTTGCTGAACGTCTTGACATTGCTGGTCTGCAGAGGAGCTTTTCATAGTGCACAATGCGCATGACATACACGTGTTGTGTGAATTTCATGCGTTTAGTCTGTTCCTTCCAAGCACGCTCACGCCATCTGCTGTTGTTTCACTGACCTCTTAAAGCTGAGATATTCCAACGCATTATTTCCATCATCATTCACAGCAGGGTGCACTCACCATCTGCCCTTGCTTGGCCGACTTCTTGATGTCAGCCACGAGCTTCTTCTCCTGCTGCTGCAGCTGCGCCCGCTCGCGGTCCAGCTCCCGAATTGACCGGTCCAACATGCGCTTGTTCTCCCGCAAAATCTCTGGTCAGGACGAGGATAGCATTGGAAAAGCATTGAGGACAGAGCGATGAGCATGCGCTTGTTCTCGCATAGGACAGATGAAAGCACTGGGAAAGTAGAGAGGCCCTTGCAGTGATGTGATTTCACATGAGCTTGTTCTCCCACAGGCTCTCTCCCTGGTCAGGCTTTAACGAAAGCATCGGTAACTGTGAATCGAATTCTCATGCGCTTGGACAACGAGTTCCTCAAATTCCGCCATGAAACGCGCGACATTTCATTTAGAAATGGACTGGTGGAAAACAGGTCGAATGCGAGGAGTCAGCCCGCAAGCGGTAGAGGTATTGAGGTTCACACAGGCGGAGACTTAAAGCCGGAATGTGCATCGCAATCCAAGGGAATGTGAAGACCGAGTCAGTCAGATTCCCGACGACGACATCAAAGACAAAGAGGGAACACATCCCGTTGGACTTAATGTCTTTGACGAAACGGCCGTTTACACGGCCGTTACATCGCCGTTACCTGCTGGCGTTTTCTTCTTTCCGAATAGAAGATCCATGGCGCCGAGCACCTTTCAGTTGACAAACCACGTGCGGAAAAAAAGCTTGCGTGCAGAAAGAGGGAGTCCGCGACCACCGTTGTCCCACTGCCGGTCAGAATCCGCCGTGTAAGGCGCAGTCGCTACTAATGGCCGAATGGGTGGGCCAATGATGCTGTGTGAGAAAATCTATGCGTAGGCAGGTTTCTCTGCTCCACCCGTGCGATTGTAGGGCAAGAACGAATGGCCACGCGTGATGAATATAATCAGTCACAGTACGAATAGCAGGATAGACTAGAATTTGGTTGCGAGAAGCAGCTACGCTACTCCCGCTGTCTGGTAGTAGTACAAGGTCTAATTCTAGCTTTCACCGCAAATGGTAATATGCTATGGGGATTCTGTGAAGGGGACCATCTCAGCAAATTGACACACGAAATGGGGAAGGTGCAAGGAAGCGGAGGTAACATGGGATCAAGCTGGGTGATATGAGCTGCAGTTCGGTGAGGGCTTCCGACGCTGCTATTTTGCGCTCAGTCAAAACGGGTGTGCTCGGGGTCGGGTCCAGTGACGCACCCTTTATGGGGAGTACGAAACAGCATTCAATTACCTTTCCTCACATACTGTGGATCTGCGTAACTTGCAGCTTACAACACTCACTTATCAGTACGCACAATGGTTGCATCGCAACCACAGCGACTTCGTATCACACTAACTCTTGTGGCCTAAACATGCTTCATACAACCTAGCCTAACCGCACTCGGTCCATCCGAACACAAATTATGCAAGGGAGCTGCGAGTACATTAAAATCACTCCAATCCAAATGACCCCACTTCCTGGTATTCTATTCAGTGAGACCAGCATTGTCAAGGTCAACGGAGCCCATGCCCTCATCCTCATCCTCGCTGTCCACGTCACCATCCACCTCAGCATTGGCATCTGTGAGCTTCTGCATGTGCTCTGCCAGCAACCGGTCATCGCGGTCACTCACCTGTGGACGAGGGGACGATACAGGAGCAGAAAGTGAGGAAGCGAGGGAGTGATGGGGGAGGAGAGACGAGAATAGTACAATACGAGCACAGCTTCTCCATGTGCCCCTGCCAGCAACCGGCCATCGCCGTCACTCACCTGGTGGGGAACACAGCAAGGAAGGGGAGGGGGGAGGGCAGGGGGGAGGGGGAAAGGGGAGGGGAGGGTGGTGGCTCCAAGTGAGCAACCAAGACCAAGGAGTAGTGAGTGAAGGAAAAATGGTGATCCATGTGCTGGGAGATGCAGTAAGAGCAAAGATTCTGCAAGCACTTTCCCAGTGAGAGAAGATGCAAGAATTAGCACCAATTACGCACTCACACACTACACATCGCCATTGATCACCGCCAGTTGCAGCCGGCACGCATCCTTTAGTCATCCTTCTCAATCCATCTCCACTCTGCGCATTCATCCGCACACTGTTCCTTAGCACACTGGCATCCATTCCCGCACTAATCATCGCCACACTCATCGCCACTAATCATCGCCAGTTGCAACAGGCACGCATCCGGTGGTCATCATCCTTCCAGTAGTAGATTCTTGAACTCTCAATCCATCCCCACTCTGCGCATTCATCCCCACGCTGTTCCTTCATCACATGGGCATTCATTCCCACACTGATCCTTCATCCTGCCATGCCATGCACTCACCGCGCGCGGCGCCTCCTTGACTGTAAGCTTGCCCTTGTGCTTCTCGATCTCCTCACTCGCTGCTCTGATGGCCCGCTCCAACACCGCTATGCCCTTGTCCTGCCCGCACCGGACGTTGTGGGGGAGTGAAGGAGATAGTGAATGGGGGAGGCGGGGGTCAGACACGGATGACTTCACTCATAAGACACTCGCTGCTCTAATGGCCTGCTCCAACACTGCCATGCCCTTGTCCTGGTCGCACAGCACGTTGTGGGGTGCCCGGGGGAAGAGTGAAAGGGGGGACAAGGGAACGAAACGGATGAGTGGAATTATAAGACAATATCTTCTCTAGTGGTCCGCTCCAAAACCACTATGCCCTTGTCCTGATCGCACCACATGTTTTGAAAGACAGCAAAGGGCCGGGTGTGGGTGTCGGGGAGGACAAATGGGGGAAGGAGCTCAAAGGACAAATCGGATGAGTTGAGTCACAAGGCACTTGCTGCTGTGCTGGCCTGAAGAGCTTCTGTTGCAAGAATTGGGTGGTGGCGGAGGCGGGGGAATAGCAAGGGCTGAGTGAGTGGACAATGAAAACGCGTCAATCAGGAAAAAATGAAAAGTCAAGTGAACACTGATTCGAAGCGCGGTACGTCAAAAGAGATTATACCACATGTGAGGAGAGTGCCCAATAGCAAGCCCACCTTGGCAAGCGTGAAGGTGGTGAGGACGTAAAGCGGCGGCGCCACGAGCACAATGCGCACCGCACAGTCCTCCTCGCTCTCCTGCTCCGCCCGGCGCATGGCGTCCTGGTGGGAGGGGAGGGCATGGTGAGGGCAGGGTAAGGGGCGACGGTGGGGGCATGGAGGGCAAAATAACACGTGTTCGTTCCGTACGGTGCAGGAGCAGGGCAGGGGAAGGGGCGAGGGCAGGTCGGAGGCGGGGGGGAGGTGGGGGTGGAGGTGGGGGTGGAAGAGACAAGGAGTGTACTTGTTCAGACACACTCAGCTCAACCCTCCTGGCCCTCCAGCTCCGCCCAGCGCATGACATCCTGGGCAGAAGGCAAGGGGAGGACTGAAGAAGGGCAGGAAAAAGGGCGAGGGTCGGGGGGGAGAGGGGGGGGGAGGAGGGGGACTTACTGTAGGCGTTTTACCTTTGTTCATTTTTGTCGCACAAGTAAACGCCTTCGACCCGACATTGAGCTCAAGTGCTTCTACAAAAATGGTGCGCTGCACATCAAGGTGCGCCCCACCCATCGCAGCCTTAGAGCTGTTAGCTCAGTAATGACTAGCCGTGGTAACGTCTCCCCAGTTTAAAGATCTCCACCGCTTCTAAGAGCCCCTTTTTCTCCCCTCGGCCGTTTTACTGCCCAGTCCCTGTCTGCGCAGTGCCCAGGCCGTGATGTGCAGGAGGGATCAGGAGGCTGACCGAGTGAAAACACGTCATCTTATCCTCCCCATGTGGGGCGCACCTTGATGTGCAGCACGCCATCATAGTGGAAGCACTTGAGCTCGATGTCGGCTCGGATCTTGAGGGGCTGCGGGGTCATTCTGCGGCGGATGTTGGCAATCAGGTTCGCCTTCACGTCCTCTGGCATGGCTGGCACCTCCCTCTTCACCTGCCGCGCGCACGGAGAGTGAGAGAGTGGGAAGCGGGAGGGTGAGAGGACGCAGGGGGACGGGTAAGGAAGACAGGGAGATGACACTAGCAGGCTCGGCTTCACGTCCTCTGGCATGGCTGGCACCTCCCTCTTCACCTGCCGCGTGCACACACAGAGAGTGGGAAGGTGGGAGGCGGGAGGTAGGAGGGTGGAGGACGCAGGGGAAAGGTCAAGGAAGACCGAGAGGTGCCACAATCAGGTTCGCCTTCATGTCCTCTGGCATGGCTGGTACCTCCGGAAAGAACCTCACCAACTTTTCCAGCCTTGCCAACTGTATGGCTGAGCACTACCCCCCTTGCAGCATCCCAAGCGATAACTGACCTCCTTGCCGTCTTCGCCTATCTCCGTGATCTCCTTGGTGAGTCCCCCCAGCACCGCATCTGGATCCGTCACCACCAGCTTGAACGCCTGCCATGGGTAGTTGATTATGGGTGTGATTCGTGAATGGATCATCAGTCATCATGGGCTATAGGTAGTAAGGCACTGGTCATGCTGTAAGGGTCATGGATCACGTGTCAACAGACACAATCATGCACCCAGCATGATGAATGATGCAGAACCGTGTCAGCAGCACCCATGAGCATAAGGAACGGGTGAGGGCTGTATCCAAGGGACTCTTTGAGTGGTCCGGCCCAGATCCTCAAATCTCATCCACTCCACCCACCTCCTCAAATGCACTCAATACAGCTGCTCCAATTGACGCAAAAGCTCCCTATGACAACAAGAACGTTCTCCGCCTATGGCTCTCAGCCGGTTCATTTCGACTTGTTGCAAACAGGTCATTACGGAAAACTCAAATCTTAAAAACACCCTGCAGCAGGGGTAGTCCCGTTCTCACCTCGAACGCGTGTCCGTATTTGCGGTACAGCGGCCACGTCACGTTCGTGTATAGCTCCTGCACGGCGACGACGAAATTCGGGAAGGGCGGAGGCAGGGGGGGAAGGGAGCGTGGGGGCGGGGGGGGGGGGGGAGGAGGAGCGGAATAGGAGGGAGGAGAGGGGGAAGGGAGAGGGGAAAGGGTGGTCGAAGGGGTGCCAATAAGTCGGAAGAAACAGCGGAAGTTGCAATGGGTGAATAGAGGGATAAGGGTTTAACAACATGGATGCTGTGGGCAAATACTCCAAGGATCGTCTGATGAGATAAGAACGAGAGACAACAGTAGAATCGATCAACGGACTCCTGGACCGTGCGATCGTTCGCACCTCGACATCGACGCCGGACGTCTCTGCCACGTGGCGCATGATGCTGTGAACCATTTTAGACTTGTTGTACTTCTCCTCGCAGGCCGCCACCTCCTCCTCCGATACACGCCGCTTCGATAAATCGATATAACCCTTCTGCTTGTCCACGCGGACCACCATGACGGGCTCTTGCCGGCCGACCTTGATCAGACTCGATATAGAGCGAATGCGACGACGGGACAGCTCCGATAAGAGAATCATACCCTCGATATTGTTGTACTCAAGAAGCGAGACGTACGCGCCCATGTCGGCGATGTTCTTAACTTGAACCATCACCACCTGCTCTACCTCTGGAAACTTCGCCTCGTACATTCTACAATCGACGTTCGGCATGGCTGCTGGCTTGTCGAAGATAGAATTTAAGGATCTGATTCAAGAAGTCGCGTGGTAAGGAGAGAACTGGATTAGTGCACAACACAAGTAGTCTTCAGTGAGAATCCAGGAAACGGATCAGGCGTTAACGGCGTAATCTGCGAGAGGTAAGTGGTATGGCTGCCAGTGCAAATGGCAGAGGGGAAAGCGAAAGGGCAAAAGATTCACCGCATAAACCTTGAAGTAAGGCGTTCTCCATTCAATACTCGCTAAAAAGTATGCGGAACAATTGTATTGGTACACCAAATTGACCTCAATATGCACAGGTTCACTGCTAAACAAGCAAACATATAACCTTCACAGAACAAGACAATGATGGCAAAACTGAACGGCAAATGCAACTTCACCCTGAACTGCATTTATATGCACGAGAGATGGAAACAGTTTCGCATCACTGCTCCGAGTCTTTCTTGTGCTTCCGTTTCTTTTCTTTCTTATGCCGGCGTCGCTTCTTGCGCTCTGAGTGCTCCACCTTTCGACGTTTCTTGTGCTTGTCCCTCTTCTCCCTATGCCCGCTTCTTCTCCGCTTCCTCCTCTTTCGCTCCTTCCGCCTCTTCCCCCTCCTCTCACTCGAACTCGAGCTGCTCTCGCTGCTCGACGAACCAGTCCCAGTGTCACCACTGCCACTCCCACCATCACTGCTACTGCTGCTGCTACTGCCGCTACTACCACTGCTACCAGCAGCACCACTAGCTGCCCCGCTACGAGGCCACGCATCCAACGGAACACCTCGAATCCAACGGCCATCTGTCCCTCCAGCAGAACCATTACCAGAAACACCAGCAGCACCAGCAGCACCAAGAGTAGCAGGGCCAGCTGCTGCCCAGGAGGTCGATAGCCCTCTACCCTTTCCAGCAACCACGCTGTCCTCCCACTCCTCCCTCACTCGCACAAGCAGCATGCTCACTGCTCCACTCCCCTCCTCTGCGACTCCCTGCATGCCTGCTGGCACGGAAGGCGGTTCCGATCCCCATGCATCGGCCCGAGAGCCGATGGCCCCTCTACCTCTCTTAGCCCTAGAGAGCACGACGGAAGGGCAAAGAAAAATAAGGAAGGAGCAGAGGCAAGAAGGGGGGGTTATGACATGGCAGAAAGGGGGACATGGTTGAGCGTGGAATTATGCTAACATTTACATCGTCCTTACTGCACCATGAGAGGATCCTAACATGGAATGCATGCCTCATCAAGATGAATTGAGGAACGGGGGAAGAAAAATGGCAGTCATAAGGTGCAGGCACGGAGCGCACTTAGTCTTGAGGAAGGCAAGAAGGTCAGAGTCATCAATGCCCTTCTGCTCTGCATGCTCCGCATTGGCACCGCCTCCCTCTCCATCCTGCCTTGGCCTCTTCCTGTGCTCTTTTCCCCTTTGAATCTCCCTGTGCCCATTTCCCTGCACCGGACCATCTCCTATACCAGCGTCATATTCGCATGTCCCATCCAACCTCTGTTCCTTCTCCTGTCCGACGCGCCTCTCTTCCGTTTCATGTCTTCCCCCGTATCTTATCCTACAATCCTTGACAGGCTCACGCCCTCGCCTCTCCAAATAATCATCACTATATTGATGGTCTGGGCCATTATCAGGGAATGTGCCCCGCTCATGAACATTCTCTTTGAACCTCAACCTGCCTTTTCCATCCGATCCAGACCTCTTTCCTCCCCGTCCCTCATCTCTCATCATACCTTCCTCATAATCACCCTCTTCCCAAGACTCTGGCCTGTCCATACGCCAGTGATCTTCATCCCAGCACATCTCACCGTTCACACCCCTTCTCCCTTCCCACCTTGCCGCACAATCGCTTCCAGCCCGTCCTTCCCATTGTTCCTGCTTGTAGCTCCTGACACCACCTTCTTCGCCTTCCCATAAGGTAGTGTCCCCTTTTCCTCCACTTCTATCCTCTTTCCCTCCATTCCTCCCCTCTCTTCGGACACCCCTCCCTTCGTTCCCAAACCGTCCTTTCTCTCGTGCAGAATCACTTCCATATGGACTCCTGCTGCGCTTTTCCCCATACACAGCATTCCGCCCTCGATCTCTCTGTGCCTCGAGTTCATCACCGCTGCAATGCTCTCTAAAGCTCCCTCGCTGTCCTCGTTGCAAAGGCGAGATCTGCCGCGAGAAGGTGGGTTCCCTTCTTTGTGTGGCTCCCTCCTCATGCTCCCCTCTCCTCTCATGCTCTCCTCTCTTCCCGTCCTCTTCTCTCTTTCCATACTCTCCTCTCTTCCCGTGCTCTCCTCCTCCGCGCCAAAGCCCCTCTTCCCCTCTGCGCCAGCACTTCTCTTCGTCGTCTCTAATCGCCCTCTTTTCCTCCCAACAACCAACATCCCCGCTTCCCTCTCTTCGCTCCCTCCTCCAGCCGTCGCCACATCTCTGTGTTCTCCGCGCTTCCCGCACGCTGCCTTCTCCCCTCGCATCCCTGGACGTCATCGGTCGCTCAGCTGAATCCCCTCGTGTCTCGCGCAGCTCTCCTGCCAGCTCCAGCTCTCGCTCCTTCCACATCTCGTTCACGTCCGCCACGCGGTTGGCTGTTGAATCAGGGTTCAAGAAGACAGGGATTCAACAGTTTTACTAGTCAACGGGAACAATGATTCTCGCTCCATACACACTATGTACGTCGACCATGCGGTACGCTGTTAACATCAAAATTCACGAAGACTAAAGCGGGGTTCTACTGCGAACGTGGAATATAGTGGGGAGAGTGAGCAGCAGGTGGTGAAAAGTGCGTAACGCACGTGCAGATGGCACGAAAAGGTGATCTCAGAAACGGCGCTTTGACGCTGAGATTAGTGAAAGATGTGACGTTTGGAATTAAAAAAGGCTCACCATACTCAACACTCTGCACGGTAGCTCGGAGGAACTGCGAATTAGGACGATACCGAACATGCGGCTTCAGATACGCCCGGACGCCCTCCTCAGCAGCTCTTGCCTTGAGCCGCTGGGCCTCGGCTAGAATGAGTGCTGCGATCTTTCGTTCCGTCTCACCATCCATGATGTCGTGGCGCTAGAACTTTTTTTTTAGGGAAGATGGAGACACAAAAGAAGCTCCCGCGTTTCTTTGCAGAACCATCGCAGTTCGACGAGGAATTACTTGTGCGACGAACGATATACTTGCAACCTACTTGCTCTATGTGCGACACCTACGACGATCTGAACTTCATGAGCGACAAGTGAACAGGCTTTGCTTGAGGCAAACATTTCATGTGGAGCGATGCGAGAGAAACCACTAACAACATTTCCAGCGTTTTAGACCATGCTAAACCGCTGGAAATCACTGGAGTCCAACTTATGCTGAAGAAAATGTTTCGGAAAGCCTAGGACACGCTGTGGACAAGTTCGTTACTAGAAACACGACCAATTGTTTTAGAACGGGGATGATTGGTCTTTCATGGTCCCTTTCAAACCAGCCCTAGTCTGCAAATTCACTTTTACCGCCTTCTTCACTGACAGTACTCCGTTTAGTCTGCAAATTCACTTTTACCGCCTTCTTCACTGACAGTACTCCGTTCAGATGTTCCCTTGTGCATGATCGTGCTCGGTCAGATTACTCACTAGCCATGTTGGAAGATAAACTGACATCGATACTGCAGAAGTATCTGGGGGAATACTTCTCTGGTCTGTCGAAGGAAGCGCTGAAAGTTAGTGTGTGGAAAGGTGGGATAAGTGTGGATTTAGTTTTACCGCAGAAGATGCAGATACTTACTAGTGATCTTATTAGCGATTCCTGGGTTTTCAGGTGACATTGAGCTCAAGAATATTAGCTTGCGACCTGAAGCGCTTAGACGCTTGCAGTTACCAGTCGTAATAAAGTCAGGAACCGTGAAGGCCTTGCGCGTTCAGGTTAGTCGAGAAATTCCAGCGACCCGTTTCAAGCAGGAATAGCATCAGATGTCACGGGTACCTGAATTGTAACATCACGTCCCGTCATATGATCTCAGATTCCATGGAAGAGCCTCGGAAGGTCATCAATTGTCATCCATCTGGACGGACTAGAGCTCTTACTTGGACCCAACGACTCTGTCTTTCTTGATCCGGCATCAGCTCTGAACGCCAAGCGCAAGCGCGTTCGAGTAAGCATCTGCATATCCTGCTACTTTCTTTTTATAATCCCTCGTCTTAAGGGTTTTTTTTCCTCAGGATGCAGAGGAGCTGATCCTGTCTCGACGCGATGCCAGCGTCGGAAAAGACACTGTAAGTGCTATCAATTCTGAATTATTCAGCGTTTTTTTAGGAGAAATTGTGGTCGCACGTTGTTCATAGTAGCTACTATTGCTGATTGTTTTATTCATTAACCTGCAGCAGGGAGATACCAGAACCTGGCTGAGGACCATTGTGGATGGTGTGATCGGAAACCTCAAGCTAAGCATCTCCAACGTACACGTTCGATTCCAAGACTCATTGAGGTGGTTAACGCTAACGTGATCCCTTCATCATGTGCAACTGAGACTGATTTTACCTGGTTTGTCTTTCAGTGAAATCCATGGACCCGCAGCTGTGGGAGTCAAACTTGACAGGCTTGTTGCCTTTTCTGTCGACAAGGATGGAAAGGAGACTTACGTGTCCGGCGAAGAGCTTGATTGCACGCGAAAGGTATGCGATTGGTAGTTGAACTAGGGATGGTACTCTTTTGCATATGGGAGAAGGCTGACATGACAAATCTGTGATTTTCAGGCTCTGGAGCTACGTGGTCTATCAGTGTATTGCCAGCCATCATTGAACAACATGACGGTATGGCGTGTGTCGATCAGATTGTCTGCCTCTTTGTTTTTCTAAATACTGAACCTACAGTGTCTTGGTGGTATGGTACAGACTGCATCAAGTGACCGCTGGCAGTTTTCAACCTCTGAATGTTTGGTCGAGCCTTTGAATGGATCAGCATCATACAGTCGTGCAGGAAAGAACCAGACTGCGTCCTTGGGCTCCCCTCAACAAGATCTCGCAGTGACTCTTGACAGTGTTTCATTTGCGCTTTCGGAGGTATTTCTGTGATCACTCGTTAACAAAAAATACTGATTCGTGTTTTGCAATAAGCAGCATTTCACAGTTGGATTCTGATTACTGCAGGACCAGTATCGGCTGATTATGAAGCTCGTTGACAAGTTTGCAGCTGCCCAACGCCGACAAGAGTTGGCTGATATCCGACCTTCGTGCAGCGTTCAAGAGTGTCCTTCAGCATGGTGGACATTTGCAATAAAGGCAACAATGAAGAAGATAAGGAAGGGACGGTAGGTGGTGCCGTAGCCGGTGTTATATTCGTGCACCCTTATTCTAGTGTATGGTGGATTAGTCCGTTTTAGAACTGACTTATTCAACGTTTTAACGATTGCAGATCCTTCACGGACTGGAATGAGCTTATTCGCCGCACCAGAATAAGGAATGCATACATCCCCTTGTATGCCAAGCATCTTCTCCAAAGAGCTGTCCAAAAGCCATTTGAAAAGAATCAGGAGCTTTTGTCCTTGGAGACAGATGTTGAACCAGAAGTTTTGCTGCAGTGGAGGTAATCTATGTTTATACATACATACATACTTTTGAAGGACACACATACTACCATGGTCTTTCTCCTTTTGCAGGCTTGTCGCTCATGAGCTGGTGTCACAAGAAATGAAAAAACAGAAGGGGAAAGATCCCAGGTGCGCATGGTATTTGTTGTTTTTCCTCGTTTTGCTCATGTCCATGTCTAATCCTTTTGTCATGTGTTGTTGTTCAGAAATTCTGCCCTCCCGACCCACCTTGATGCTGAAGACTGGACTCAGTTGCAAGCACTATTACCCGAGGCTACAAACAGCGAGACCACAGTTTCTGAGATTGTGCATACACGGTGGTCTGTTATTGTGAAGGAAAGCAGATCAGTTATCAAGGATTCCCATGGCGTTTCCCTTTTGAGCCTCAACTGCAAGAGGATTCAAGTTGCATCCAGTATGCACTTGGAAACCACAGATATCCATGTTCAAGTTGGACCATACTGTGTGGAGTCACCAGAGGGAGAACTTTTTTGGAGTGGGCAAGGGCCAGAGAACACCCTGGATTTTCTCTGTGTGATGCATCCTAAGGGACAAAACCTGGACTGGTTATTACATGGCTCAGTCCAGCAGGCTCATGTTCTGGTATGCAGCATTTATTCGTATCTCGCCAAAGTGAATAGAAAATGGCAATGGTTAAACGGTCCACATGTACTACTGTTTGCAGTTCATCAAGTCAAGCTTGGATCGCATCATTGAGTTCTTTCAGAGTAGCGACGCCTTGAGTCCTGCTCTTGCATTGGACACTGCTGACGCTTTTGAGGTATAAGCATTCCCCTGTATGCTTCATTTCTGTTGGTGATAATGTTGTGGGCTCTGACGTTTGCTGTTTATTTGTTCGTTTGTTTGTTTTGTTCTTTTTCCAGCAAACTGTTGAAGAGATCAAACGCCAGGCTCAGGCACAGCTGACGAACTTCATGCGCTCAGTTTCCCGGTATATGCTGCCATTTCGAGCTCTTGCTTAATTCTTGCCAAATTTTGTCGAAACTGCCTTTAACCTCTGTCGTTTTTTTGTGGCTTGCAGATTTGAGGTTGTCCTTGATGTGTTTGCTCCTGAAATCACAGTCCCATCTCTTTCTGAAGGCTTCCAAAGCACCAAATTGGTGTTTAATCTTGGCCATCTTTTCCTTAATTCAAGGGCGCAGGTGGGTAAAGGCATATGCGGTTTTAGGTGTTGCTTCTACTCTATCCTGTCGATGAGTTCTGTTTTTTTGTATTGCAGCCAAACCACGCATCCACATCAAGCACGACCTCGGACCTGTACATGAAGTTCCATGCCAAGTTGGAAAACGTTTCAGCCTGTTTCCAGATTGTCAGCGCTGCCAGTCTTAGGCACCAACCCGCAGCCATAGAATCACAAATAGTGAAATCGATTCCTGTGTTGGAAGACTGCAGTTTCGTGTCATCAATCGAACAGGTGGGGATGCGTTTTTTCCTTTTACAATTTGGTTCATTGTGCTTAAAGACATTTTAATTTGTCGTTATCGTCCATGCAGATCTGGGTACCTCAGCCTGATTTTCCAACTTTGAGGATCAGTGCAAGGGCTCCATCTCTGGAAGTTCACTTTTCTCCTGAGATACTCCATTGGCTTTTGAGATCAGCTGAGGCTGTGCAGGGATGTGGCTCCCAAACTGCATCTGTTGTGCCCTGGGAGTCTGCTGACTACAAAGGCTGCATTCACATTCTCATAAGACAGGTGTGCACTGTGAGTGGAACTCGGATTGACACTGACAAGGTTATTATGCTGACTGATGTGTAAGTGTGGCTTGTAGGGCATATCTAGTACTGAATTTGCTTGGCAAAAGAGGGTGGGGGCTGTGGCTGGGCCCTTTCTGTACATACTACCCCTGGAAAATAGACGCTCCTACAAGCAACGGATCAGGTGGGAGTGAGCATTGTTTTCAGTATATTCTTCTTCTTCTTGCCCCCGCAACCATGACTAAGCCTTACTTGCTTCAATGCAGCCTTCGAAACAAGATCCTTTTGTGTCTTACACAAAATGGCACCAGTGGGCTGGAGGAGAATGCCCTTGTGATTGGCCCTCCTGGCTGCACTGAGGAGAAGGTACATGAGCTTTTGTGCTCTCGTGCTTTCCATTGCAAATGGTATGTGAAAGTTCTGCTCTGGTGTATGCAGGCTGTGAGAACCTCAACCGCCTTGCTTTTCAAGCCGGATTCTGCGGTGGCTTATGAAGCTTGGAAGTCCATCTTGCTTTCTGCCATTCACCGAGCCTCTGTAGGTCTTCAAAACCAGATGTTGTTCATATGTTATGCAAAATCTGTGCGTATTTAATGATCCTCTTCATTTCATGTTCAGGATGCAGCATTGTCTCAGTTGAGTGAAGACTTGTCGCTGGGGTCCCAACACCAGCCACATGTCCGACCAGCTGGTTCTGCGGCGGTGCTCTTTGTCGGAGAAATGGGTACTCTGCGGATGACATTACATGGGAAGGTATGGTAGTGCACTAAATATTCGTGTGATACATTTTTCTCACTAGCAATAACCTTGTCTCTCTTCTCCTGCCGTTCAGCGTCAACTTCCAGATGTACACTCAGGGACTGAGACTCCCCTTGTGGTTCTTGAGGCCTCGAGTGCAGTGGTGAGTGATGTTGGTTCATTTTCCCTTTTTACAGAGCTTTTTTAACTGACGACATAGTAACGTTTCATAAGTTGCCGCATGTAGGTCGAAACCACACTCCTTGAAAACTCTGACCTTATCCTTGGAGCGGCTCTTTCATCACTTGAAGTCAAAGATCTTGTCTCGTGTGATGCTGGGCCGGCATGCCGGTTTCTTGCTCGATCCAGCGAGATGTTGAGAACCCCCAGCATGCCAAAGGACTGGTCCCTTAATAAGGAAGAGACGAGTGAGGTGTTTCATGATGCCAATGAATTGTCGTTTCCGACGCATCCATCGCAAGAAACGAGTGGTCATCGGTCGAGCCTTTGGAGCATGTCAGAATATTACGATGCTGTGGACTTTCCAGTGGATGGTGGCGATAAGCCACTGGCAAGCGATGAAGTTCCTTCTCTTGAAAGCAGGCCTGCCTTGTTGGACCGACCTTGGAAGAGAACAAGTGCTTTTGTCCAAGTCCAGTACATCATGCGCGTTCCAGATTCTCCAGAATTTTCTGGCGTGAATGCTGAGGTATTTGTTTTAATCCCCCCATGTTGTCAGCTCTACTTTGAATAAGTCCCTAATTGTGCTCGTGTTTTTCTGCAGCTAATATTGGACCTGAGTGGCTTGAGCTTTTGTTGCAACCGACCCACTGTCCTGGCACTGATTGGAGTGTCCTTAGACATGGCCGCTGTGCCCACATTTGCACCCGAGCCTGCGAAGTCACAACCTGGAAGTGCAGCAGATCCTAGCTCTCTACCAGTGAAGGTAGAGGTAGCAGAGGACAACGAGAGGACACTTTTCAGGTTGACTCTTTGTGTGGGGGACTTGCGGGTCACTTTGAATGGAGATGATGGCCTTCCCCTTGCAGTGCTCACAAAACAGAAGCTTGTGTTCCAGTTGCAGGTAAAGTTTGGATAAGTCTTTCTGCTCATGTTCAAGCTGCCATGAACTAGCTTCTCACAAATCAGACATGTCTTGCAGGTCTGTGCAAGCTCGTTTCTGCTTGATGTTGAGCTTGGTCAGCTGCGAATCTGCGACCTCAGCTTGGGTGAAGGCCACCAATATGGCCTGATGTTTTCCCCAAGAAGCACTGAAGGCCGATCGTTTGCAAAGGTAACCATATCTTTCGTGGGCTATTTATTCATCTCCTGGTTGCGATGCGACAGCCTTATGACCTCCGTGTCCCTGTCTCAGTGCAGATTACGCTGACAAGCTCCAGCATTAGTTCAAGCGGTGGTGGTTCCGAATATTCCCTCGGTGTGCAGACCTCTGAAATTCGAATGGTCTACCTTAACCGTTTCATTCAAGAAGTGAGTGACGGTTTGTACAAATCTTTCGTTTGTCTATCTGTTTAGTGTTCCTGCTCCTCTTATTTCATGTTCACTTACGTTACGACTATTGATTTCATGGCTATGACAAACTATTTTTCAGGTTACGTCATACCTTTCCGGGCTCTCACCACCACCTGAAGAAGATACAGAGCAGGTTCTTCATTCACCACCTGTCGAAGACCCGTCTGCACACGCTGTCGATGCAACAGCAGTAACACCAATCAAGATCGCTGTCTTGTTTGGCGAATTACTGCTGCTGCTTCCAGAATCTTCCTCAAGTGAAGAGTATGTATGTCCGTGCTGTTTCGATTCTATGAATTCGCTCCATTTTCCGCGTCTTATGTTTTTGTGTTTGATGTGAGCAGATACCTAGAGTTCGATGTGGGAAGGCTGGAGATTTCAAATTCGATTGAAGTCTTGAAGCTGCTTGGTGATGGCAAGTCAATTCACGATATTAGCCTGGACGTCATGAAAGTGGAGGTAAGGCCTGTTTTTTTATGCCACTGTGTTTGACCTTTTTTTTTTTAGTTAATATTTGATTGTTTGTGCTGTTGTACTTCATCCCATAACAGATTGATGGCATTCGCCTGCATGCAATGACCAAGGGTCATATCACTGACAATATGATCGAGAGGCTTGTGGGCCTTCAGGTGTTTATTGAGAGACCTCTGGGTGATCCCACAGGCCTCATGCCTGGCTGCCATATTTCAGTGAAGGTGATTACTGACTCTGTCCCGTTTCTGGCCTTGTTTTTGGTCCCAAATATGTGGGAGGAGTTTTACCAGAGTCCCTTTTCTTGATTTATGCGTGCAGGTTGGGCATCTCCAAGGAGGAATGTGCAGTGCAGAGTATGCAACTGTTCTTGACTGTGTTTCTGGAAATTTTTTGGAAATGCCACGTCCGACCTTGGTTTCCACTGCAGCACGTAATTCCACTCCAGTGGCCTCCGTGACGCCATTGAAGCATGTGGATTTGAAGACATCTGTCCATATCCAGTCCCTTGCACTCCTCTTGTACAAAGGATCTTCACGTGAAGCCAGATTCGCCAAGCTTCAGGTAAGTCCTTCGGTTTAAGAGGTTGTTCCTCGCCATGGTTTAACTTGTGAGGTGGACTAATTTTTATGAACAATGTTTCGGCAGGTTTCCAATCTATCTCTTCGCCACTTCCTGCACAGTGGAGGCATCTCGCAGCTGTTTCTGTCTATTTTTCAAGTTTTTATCAAGGATCTGACCCCTGGAGTTGCAACAGAGGAGCGATGGGTTTTGGGAATTGTGGATGACATGGAAGGAGTGATTGCAACAGTGGGATCTGAAAGTGCATCTTCTGCTGATTGGCCAACTCATCTCTCTTTGCTTCCTCGTGAACAAAGTGGGGCTGAGCATATCCATCCATCACTGCCGATGCTGATTCTGGAATCTCAGTTCACAGGCGATGTCCAGAGCATGTCACTTAGGATTCAGCGTCCTCGGCTGCTGCTGGCTCCGCCATTCATCTCCCACCTTTTAAGTTTTTTCACTCGCTCTGAGGATGTCGAAGCTGTATCTGCCTCTGTTCCCCAATGGAGGGATGCGTTCCACCTTCGCACACCATACACGCTTCAGCAAGCACCTGGTGTCTTGGAGATTTACTCTCAGAGGCCACTTGTTGCTGATGCGCCTGAAGTGTCAGCTTTTACTTTTGATGGAAATGGGGGTTCCATCGAACTGGTGTGCGCTGAGCGCTCTGAAGCTACTGCTGCTGAAGCGCCTCTGATCATCGTCGGCCCGGGAAAACACCTCCGCTTCAAGAATGTCCACATCTATGTGAGAGCTACTCATCGTTTTTCTCTTCCTTTTGTCCTTTTTTATCTTTGGATTCTTAGCAAGTGTTTTTTCTATATATACCCTGCATGCAGGGAGCTGAATGGTTTGCCTCTGTGATTAAACTGGGAGCTGGAAGTAGTTATTCAGTTGATGAAGCTGATGGTGTCAGATTGCTGCCGATGCGCCCAAAAGATCGACCTTCTCAGCAGCTTGACAAGCCCAGAACTTCCCAGCGTGTGCCTGAACAATCATATGGGCATTGGAAGTTCAATCTCCAGGTGAGTAGTTTCTTCTGTGTTCCATATTCTGGTAAAAGACATGTTGCACCTGTCTTTTATTGACACATATCTGATGTATTATCTGTGGTTCACAGGCCATTGGGATGGAGTTGATTGCCATAGATCAGGCACGATGGGCAGCAATAAAATTATCTTCTCCAGAGAACCTTTTGAGGCTCAAGGCTTCTCTTTATTTCAGGTTTGACTTCATCCACTAGCCTTTTTTGTTTTTTGCCAGATTCCATGTTCGTGGTTTAAGTATTGTTAACTTATCTTCTATGTTTTGATGCAGCATTCAAACTGTGCGACGCATGTCGGAGGTGAATGTTGCAGTCAGGTCATCCGGGATCAGCACAGGCTCAGGGTTGTGCGTGATAGAGCCTGTTGATTCTAGAATGAGGTTCACATCCTCAGCAGGCTACACGGACATCCAGTTTTCAGTTTCCGATCTGCGTACCCACATCACGTTCAACACGCTGGAGCTCATCCTGAGGATGCAGGAGAAGTACATGAGCTCCGTGTACAGTGTTGCTGAAAAGCCTCAGCATTTGTGCTTGCAGTTCAAGAAGGTGTGGGCCTATGCAGGTTAGTGGAAAAGCCTTTCTGTTGGTCCACAATGACTTAGTGAAAGGGCACCAAGGTTCACAGATAGTTCGTTGTTTTTGCAGGAAGGTCTGACATGCAGAGGATTTCGTTTTGGAGACCAATTGCGCCACCAGGGTTTGTTGTGCTGGGTGACTGCCTGACAACAGAGTAAGTGATGCCAGCATGCTCGACCCTAACAGTCTGTATTTAAATCAGGTGGCAGCACTTGCCTTTGACGTGTGTGTTTTCTTCCCTTGGCAGTGATGCTCCCCCAACCAGAGGGGTCTTAGCTGTCAGCCTGGCAGGCGGCTATGTGAAAAGGCCAGTCTCATTTGCGAAGATATGGTCGTCCGAGGAGGAATCTGATGTCTCATCAAGTCCAGAGTGCTCTGTGTGGGAACCAATTCCCCCCCCTGGATTTGTGGCTGTAGGTTGTGTTGCCCATCCAGGAGCACAGCCTCCCTCAGCATCTGCTGTGTACTGCATAGAGTCGTCACATGTGTGCCCTGCAGCACTTCGTGGCTGCATAACGGTGCAAATGTACGTACAGTGTCTGCATCAATTGTGGCTCACGCCTTGATGCTTCAAACACAGGCTCCAAAATGTTCACCCATTCATTCTCCTGGTTTCAGGAATGACGGATTGCAATCATTCAAGCTCTGGAGGATCGAGAATGCATTGAACACATTCTCTGCCCGTCAGGAACAGGAGGCTGCTTGTGCCTTTGCATTTGACTTGCGCTATCAGCTTCCTGCAAACACACCCAGCAATCTTTCATCGTCGCCACTTGATGTGGATGCTGTTGCTGGGGCTACAGGTCAGCAAGTGGAGGCTTCAATGTCGTTGGAAGTTCCCTCTGTGGCAATCTCATCACGGCAGCAAGAAGGATTTCAACAAGCCCATTTCTTCAAGCTTGCTTGGGAGTCACACAGAGAGTTCTCTAGCACTGCAATTTCTGTCTGGAGGCCCCTCTGTCCCGAAGGTTTTGCGTTTCTTGGCGATGTCATCCACTGCGGGTATGGAATCTGCTCTGAGATCGTGTCGTGTGTGCGTGCGTGCGTGCGTGCGTGCGTGCGCGCGTGCGTGCGTGCGTGCGTGTATTTTCTGCTTTCTTCTCTCCTTGTGCTGATTCCTTTGTTGCTGCTGTTGCTCCTCACCTGCATCTATGTTTGATCCCTCCACAAGTGAAGACAAACTCTCAAGCACCCTAATGTTTCGACATATCTCATTTTTGGGCTTTCAGGTGCTCTCCTCCAAATTCCACTGTTATCATTGAGGAGGTTGATGACAGTCTCCTTGTGAAACCATCAAGGTGGAAGCTGTTGAAGTACATTCCAGCTCAAGGCACACAAGATAGCGTTGCTTTTTGGTCAGCAGTTCCACCACCCGGTTACAGCTCCTTGGGAGTGGTTGTGACTACAGGGAAAACAGCTCCGTCCAAAGACAGTTTCCGTTGCGTGCGAAATGATGCATGTGTACCTGTCAAAATCGCTTCTGCTCCAGTTTTTGAACTGGTCTCACGCAAGGGAAAGCCCCTGTGCAAGCTTTGGCCTGTCGAGAATCAGGTATACTAGTGCTTATCAGGCATGGCTCTGCATTCGCTTCTTCTCAGCTGCTTGTGTGCTTGGTTTTGTGTAAAATAGGTTGATTGCAGTCCCAATCAGGTCAAGCCTCATATCTGGGATATGTGTTGTATTTGCAGGTTGGGACTTTCTTGGTCACGACAAAGGGTCGAAAGGGGCCACCTCGGCGCCTTGGCTTGGGCATTTTTGTGCTGGATGAGCAGCGGCCAGTCTCACGAGTGTATGTTGACGTCTCACTACCGGTTTTCTCTGTCACTCTCTACGATGACTTCGGGAGCCTGGTGAGCGTGAATTGCTGATCATTCGTTCCTTTTCATTCAATTTTTCTTGTCAAAAGGAGTCTTACAATGAATGTGTGGTCATGTCTTGCTTCCCAGATGACTCCGCTCGTCAAGATAAGCCTTGACAACCTGGTCGTGAAGTCTCTCTACTATGGCAGCAATGATGTCCATCAGGTCTCCTCTGGCTGCAGTGTGGATGCGTTCAACAATCGGCAAGATGCGTGGGAGCCCTTTTTGGAGCCCTGGCATGGGATGGTCAGGTATGCTTTTTCCAGTGACTCAAAGGCCTAAGATGGTATTGAAAGCACTTTGTTCTGTCTTTTAATGTGTATATTGATGTGGTGCAGGGCTGAGTTGGCTGGGAAGGATGGCCTTGAGCCACCACTGTCAACTTGTCGAGTGGTGTCCAACAGCAAGGTGAACATCAATCTATCATCAGTGAACGTCAATCACTTCGGGGAGGCGTACGCAGACTGGCTGAAGCTCCTAGAATCCAAGGAGGGTGCAGAGAGGGCCATTCACATGGTGAGAGCCGAGTTTTATGACATACTGCTTGCTAGTTGATGAGAGGTGAAACGTTTTACCATGCTTTTTTCTCTGCTTGTGTCCTCTGTGTACTGCAGCTCGAGCATGATAAGGATGAGGAAGGGGACACAGAAGAGTACTCACATGCAACGGAGCGTCCTGCCTACATCGTGCAGCACAATTCATCCGGCATTGATCTGTTCTTCCGAGTGCTGGACAAGAAGTTGGAGGCTAGAGTGTTCTGCTTGCCGTCTGGCAGCCAGGCTTGCATTGTGGTGCCACCGGAGACCAGTTCTTCACATCCGTCACCAGAGCATCACAGCGGCGTCCAAAGAGGTTCCATTCTCGCATTTGGTATCGGCGACCTCCAGGTGGGTCGATGCTTTTGTCTGTTGATTGAAAGTCAAGCTACCAGCTTTTGTAGAATCAAACATACAATATTTTTCTACCATTGAAATTGCTGCAGATTCCCAAGGAGCTGGTTTCTAATCCAGGGGAGCTTGTCTGTTCTGTCTCGTTGACCTCAGCCATTGATGTCGATGGGTTCCAGTGTGCTCAGCATGCACGTACAAGCATGAAGGTTCCTGCAAGTTCTGGGAACTCGTGGCTGGTTTCTTGGAATGAGGTGTTTCTCTTCGAGAGCATGCTAGAGGTAATGTTGTGGCTACAACTTTGGTTTCTTCTTTCTAATTTTGAGCATCTTACCTATGAAGGTCGTAACTTGCAGGTAGGAAAGACGGTGTGTGTTGCAGTGGAGCGAAGCGCTTTCAGAGGTATGTCCATCATGAGCTCCACTTTTTCTGTTTCTGCCTTTGCATAAGCTGACTGTTCGTTTTTCTTCATTGCTGCAGGTTTGGTTCTTCTCAGTTTCACTTGGGCTGCGAAGCCTGACGTGAACACGGTGGAACTCGAGTGTTTAACACACAAAAATTCCACTGCAGGCCACACTTGGCTATCCTCCAATCTTGAGCCTGTAAGTGTGCATCATATTGTCATCGTCACAGGTCAGCCAATCATTCTCCGTGCAATGTCAACATTTGACAAAAGAACTGTATGTGCAGGCGTCTGGCGACCATGGCACTGCTCACCTCAGTGTATTCCACCAGTTTGGCAAGATTGGAGCTGACGGAAGATTGGAACCTCTGGATGAAGTCCCGGACTTGCCTGTCCGGGAGCAGTGGCAGCCATTTCAGATGTCACTGACAAAGGATGGGCCATGGTCTCCTATTAACTCTGTCTATGGTGGTGGTGTTGTTTCCAAACAACTGGGTGGCACCATGCTGGCTGTTCAAGTGTCCATGGTTGAAGGGGAGAAGCATCTGAACGTCAGGTCATTGGTGACTGTAGTGAACAAGACAGAGAGTAGATTGGAGGTCTGTCTGTGCCCACGCTCACTATTGTCACAGTCGTCCACTGATGAGCACAGCAGCGCTACTGTGCATGCTGCTGTATCAGAACGAGCAAGGCAAGATGCTTCTCAGGACGAGGGTGCTGTTGGAGGAGTTGAAGTGGTTGAGATCTTTGAGAATGAAAGGCATCTGCCCTTCTTAGGTTGGAGCTCCTCTAACCTTCTTCCTATCGACCCCAAGGGCTGGAGCGACCTCAAGTCAAACTCGTCCTCAAAGGTAACCCTAACCTTAAGCTGCTGTTACGCGCCATGCAACTTGGTCCAATTGATTGTCTGACGTATACTTACCATGAGGCCCCCCTCATGATGTATACTTACCATGAGGGCCCAGTCTGATGTATAATTACTGATTGATTGTCTGTTGTATACTTGGTCTGCTGTGCGTCGTAGTTCTTCAAGGAGCCTGAGCTGCCTGCTGGCTGGATCTGGAGTTCCGACTGGCACATCGAAGTTTCAGAGCATGTGGACAAGGACGGGTGGGCGTACTTCCCAAGCTTTTTGGAGGCATCGTGGCCACCCAGGGGCACTGCACGTCGGGTGAAAGGATTTCCTGATGCTGTCCGAAGGAGGCGGTGGGTGCGATTCCGGCAGCAGTCTCCACTGGCAAAAGCACCTGGTCGAGTTAGTTGTGGCTTGGTTGAACCAGGCAGCGCACTTTCTCTTCCTGTCCCACCTGCATCAACAGAACAGACTGACCCGTGCATCCAAATGCGGCCGTATGTTGCACCATTTGACGAGTCTGCAACCCCATTCTCATGGGGATCTGTTGACAAGCATACATCAAAGGTGATCAAGGACACCTCCACCTCAAAGCAGGCGCTTCCTCCCTTCTCAGACTTCCCTTTTCTAACCCTTGGAAAGACTCAAGAGTTGCTGTCCTGTCAGCGATCATCAACAGACAGTGAGCGCCCAGAAACCCGCTGGATGCTGGTGGAGTCGATCGGCACCCCGTTAAGCAAGCGCTCAAACTTCACCCCAACCATGGACTGGGAGATTGTTGCAGAAGCGCCCATGACTTTTTGCAACCTGTTGCCAGAGCCAGTCACTCTATCCATTTGGAGCTCTGATCCCCCATCAACTGATGTTCTGCTGAAGGAGGATGATCTGGTGTTGGAACCTGGAGCCAAGAAGGGAGTCTTGTCTGTACACCCAAAGGGCCGTCTTCTTGTGTGTCTGAAAATTCGTGATGTGTGGGTTCCACGAGATGAATCTGAGGTGAGATGTTCTCACAGGCATTTGCTTCATGCATCAATACAGTAGCCTGTGGAAGCAACATTGGCCTTTCCCATTGTTTGTTTGAGTGTATCCAAACAGGAGCGTTTGACAATCTTTCACCCACAAGAGCCTCCTCCGTCAGAGGTCACTCTGATGCATAAAGACACGAACAGGTACATTTGTTCACTGGATTTCCTGTCAGCGATTTTTTGGCCAGTTCCCTTACTTACGTTTTCCCGTGAAACCTTCCTCCTGTTATGTCATTCAGGCAACTTCAAGTGTCCATTGATCGGACTTGGTCTGCCACCTTTGGCACGCTGAAGGAGGTCATCTTCTCAGTTCCCTGCTGGGTAGACACAGCTGGCTGCCCTCCCTTGGTCCTCTCCCTGTCTCATGGGTCTTCTGTTGCCGCCATAGCTAGTGGTTCCTTCCACAGCCTCAAGCGGGCATGGACAGAACACAAGTGGGATGGTAAGACTTCGAGGAATCTGTTGCAGAGCCAACTTCAAAAGGACGAGGTGGTGCATGTGGGGGCCGAGGGAGGAAGCACAGTCATGCTGTCCAAGTGCGATGACACCTCTGTCATTCGCTTTGCACTGGATAGAGCAGGGGGCGTGGAGGAGTATGGGCCGGACCTGTCAATTGCAACTGTTCAGTCTCAGGTGAGGAACATCACATTCAGTCTGCCAATCACCATCTCTCACTTACACATATGCATCATATGGGCACTTGCAAGCGCACTGCAAGCTGACACAAGTTTCTGTGTTGTGCAGAGCACTATGTGCGACTCACAGGCCACAGCAGCCGATGGCTCATATCTACCTCTTGTGGCTTTCATGGACGTCAGCCCTTTCGGCTCTCAGGCCACAAAGGTAAAATTCCAGCTGTGGCCACCTTTGGAGGACTCAATGCAAACTCCGTTTAACAATTTTTTATTTTGTGTGCAGGTGCTGAAGGTCCGGCCATTGCTCACTCTCACTAATCGATTAGGAGAACCAGTGTTTGTGAGACCACCAGGGGCAGAGGAGCATATCACAGAGTTGGCTCCATCTGACTGGCACAAGCCACTTGTTTATCCACGCGCTTTCGGAACAGACACCTTCCAGGTCCGACTGCAAGGCCCATGCTCAAATACTTGTTGCTTCACTACTACTTTGCCCTCTTGGCTCTAGTAAATTGCTGATATGGAGCTTTGATGTTCTGCATGTTGCAGGTTCGTACCAGCTTATCCACGTGGAGCTACCCGCTCAAGCTTTCGGTGGATGCTGAGGTGATCGCTGTTGTGCGACTGCTGAGAGACAATTCCCGCCACTTCATTCGAATAGACGCCCGGTTTGGAGGGGCCACGTCCAAGCATATGATATCGTTTCGGTTTGGTGGTTTTCACCTTCCTTTTAAGTGAGTGAGGCTGCAATTTTTTGTGTTTGGTTCTCATAATTTGCCTGCCTGATTCTTTGTTTCCTCATCCCTGTTTAACATTTCCCTCTCTTTTTCTCTTCAGGCTCGAAAATCTCTCCAGCCACAGTATCTGGTTCCGGCAAAGTGGTCTACCCATGACATCATGGGAGGTCCTCTTTCCAAAGTCAGCTGCTGCGTTTGCTTGGGAAGACCCAGGCGGGGATCACTTCTTGGAGGTTTATGCCCAAACTCATGAGGAGTCTGTTGGAGCCTCTCTAGAGAGCAGAGCGCATCCTCCAGGCTCCATGCTGTACGATCTGTCAGAGCCAGGAGATCTTGCCTCGCTTCCTCTGCCTGCTCCTGGTGGGCGTCTGCATGTTCAGACGTTTGAATGTGACAGTGTCCGCATCATTCGTTTCATGAACAGTGGAGGTATGACTGGGGAGGAGGAAGAGGAGGAGGAGCAGCAGCAACAACAGCAGCTGAGGGATGGTGAGGTGGCCGCACCTGCTGGCTCGGCTCTTGAGTGGCAGCAGAGCGCCAATGCCGTGAACAAGGGCTCGAGAATGGAGATCAGTCTGGACCTCATGAGTGTGGGCCTGTCAATCATTGACCAGCGACCTCAGGAGTTGCTGTATGCGTTCTCAGAAGGTTTTCTGCTGGACTACCGCTATGATGGGCGAGATGACTCAAGCAGGTGGGGTTCTCCTCACCGTGGCAGGAGAAAGCATACAAGCAGGGAGCATGTCCCTGCTCTCTTGCATCCATAGGTTTCTTACCTCTCCTGTGTTTTTGTGGCAGGGTGAAGCTGATACTGAAGAGCCTGCGCATCGATAATCAGCTGCCTCTGTCTCCCTTGCCGGTGCTTCTGTTCTTGGAGCAGAAAGGCATGCCTGAAAAGGACTATGTCTTAAAGTTTCTTGTCTCATGTCGTGGCAGCATGAAGCAAGACGAAGTCTGCTACCCGAAACTCACGCTTTGGGTGTGTCATGTCTTTGCTACAGACTTGTTTCCCTTTGTTTAGGTCTTGTTTCTATGCTGTCTCCCAAGCATGTTTATCGTCACGTACCTGCCTTTGTCTTCATGCACGCAGTTGGCACAGGAGCCGTGGCAAGTGAATATACATGAGGCCATTGTGTGGCGGCTGTGGGAGCTGATGGAGAGCATTTGCTGGGAGCACTTCTTTGCAGCGGAGAATGGTGTTGCGGATGGAGGGGCAGTGGCCGCTGTCCAGGTCGACCCAATGATTCGCATAGAGTGAGTCACAGCATAGTTTGTTATGCTGATCCCGCTTTGGCTCTGGAACTCCATTTTTTACAGTAGCTGTCCACTTGGCACAAATGCTATAAGGGGCTAACCTTCTCAACCTTTTTTGTTGTGCACCTCTCCTGCTTTATTGCTATGCAACTTTCCAGCCACCTTGTTGTCTCGGGTGCTCACCTCAAGCTTACGCTTGAAGCTGCCCCGACATCCCGGCCGGCACAGCTCCTTGGCGCGTGGAACACTCTCGTCACTGCAGCAGGCAACACCAAGCGCATGCCGGTGAGTAATTCTCCCATGCACGCACATGCACCGGCAATGCTCGCAGCTTTTAGCATGAATTTTGTTTCCACTTCAAATCTCTCACTTGCTCAACGTTCTGAGTGACTGACGGATCTGAATTTTCCTGACTGTGTCTGCCCTTTAACATGTACCTCAGGTCCGGCTGTCAGGGGCAACAGCTGAGTCGAGACGACTGCGCAGGAGCATCTTCATGGATGCAGTGGTGCGGCATGTGCTGCGGGATCTCTTGCACCAGTCACTGAGGCTGCTCTCTGGTGTGGACGTGCTGGGGGTCATCAGCTCCACGCTCACTGCTCTTGGACATGGAGCTTCGAGGCTCGTTCATAAAGAGGACATGATCAATAGGCACTTCCAGCAGGTAATTATGTCGCAAGCAAACAACAGTTGGCATTGTCTGCATTGCATGGATGTGCAATAGAGGTTTTTTTTGTGTGTGTAAATAGAGGAAACATAAATTGAAATATACATTTTGCACTAGACTCAATGTCTTGCTGCTATCCTCCCTCCGTTGAGGTGTACACAGGCTCTTGGCAACCAGCTGGACAACGTTGGAGAGGGCCTTCTCTATGGTGCCGAGGCGATGGCTAAAGGAGTGGCCTTAGGGGTGGCTGATGTCCTTGTCCGGTCTCGCTCTGGCTATGAGACCCATGGGCCACCAGGACTGCTCCTTGGGTTCGGAAAGGGCTTGGCAGGGCTTGTGGTGCATCCAGTGACGGGCTGTTTGCACTCTCTGGCGTTCCTTGTCGCTGGCCTGGATGCATCTACTGCTTCATGTGCTCGCATGGTGCAGCGAAAGCATCAGCTGCAGCGGCTGCGTCTGCCCAGGGCGATTTCTGCTGATGGGGTTGTCCACGAGTACAGCAAGGATGACGCAGTTGGCCAGGTTCTTATCTCCTTCCAGTGCTGAATTGCCCTCGTTCTCTCATGTTGGTGTGATTTCCTACTCCATACCTTACCGTCGTTGTCATTCCCAGCCTCACATTTCTGCTGTTTATTATGAATTTTCGTTTTCTCTTGGTATCCTTGCATTCACTCATAACACTCTTTCCAGATGGTACTGTTCATGGCTGAAGCTGGCTCATACTTTGGGAGGCATGACATATTCAGGGACCACTCCAAGTTCGCCCTTTCAGATGCCTACGTGACTCACATTCTTCTGCCCAACTGCCGCATTCTGCTAATCACCAATCGCAGGGTCATGATGCTCCAGGTGGGTTGAGTTGCTCCAGGTGGGTTGAGTTGCTCCAGGTGGGTTGAGATGCTCAAGGTGAGTTGAGATGCTCAAGGTGGGTTAGGTGGGTTGAGACGCCCAAGGTGGGTTCGGATGCTGAAGGTGGGTTCAGATGCTCAAGGTGGGTTCGGATGCTCAAGGTGGGTTCGGATGCTCAAGGTGGGTTCGGATGCTCAAGGTGGGTTCGGATGCTCAAGGTGGGATGAGTTGCTCAAGGTCGGTTGGGTTGCTCAAGGTGAGTGGGGTCACAATGTTGTTCATCTGTGGACATGTCGTCGACCTTCTCTTCTACCCACATTGCTTAACCTGGTTCTCCTAAGTAAAGCATGCTTCAGTCTGCTGCCTTGTTTGCATAAAAGAATTACCTATATTATGCCTATCCATCCCAACGCCTACTTTCTGCCCTGCATCTCTCATCACTTCAGTGCCCTGTGGATCCAGCTGGCCAACCTGACTCACTGGCACTGGTGCAAAGTCCATCCCTTGTGCGGTGGGATGTTTCATGGGACAACCTTTTGGCTTTGGAGACCAAGCCCATTCCTAGCTTCCCTCGGCCAGTGGTCTGTGTGCACATGCGAGAACCTACTCCTCAACGCCTCTACACCATCATCCGCTGCCCAGAATCACATCCTGCGGAGCACGTGCTGGCTGACATTGCTTCAGCATTTGAGACCTATGGTCCCAAACCAGTCAATATCCAAGCAGCACAGGTGATTGCATGTTCAACGTTAGCTTCTGATAACTATCTCCACTTGATTGTAATTCACTTCTTCCTGTGCTTAATCTGCAGGTCCTAAATGAGACTCCTCACCATTCGTTCCTGTCCGCTGCCAGCAGCCGATCCTCTCTCTCACTCACCACTTCATCATCCCGACCCATCCAGCCAACACAGTCCAGGAGGTTCGGTCGCCAGCACAGTGTTCGAACCTCAGAGGCGGCTCTGGCAATTGGCCAGCGTGCACTGTCTTCTAGCGATTCCAACCCGCTCATTGTGGCCCGTCCACTAGCGTTGGCGTCCACGGTCACTCACTCGCTCCCATCGCATGTCGAGACGGATACATTCATTCGTGCATGGGTGGTCGAGGATGGACCAGCTTTCTGCTTCTCTTCTTGCCAGAGAGTATGTTCTACTGAGAGTATGTTCTCTTCTTGCTGTGTCAATTTTTTTACGGTGTAGTTGAGCAGATCTGTTCTCACTAACTTTTGATGTCTATCTCTCAAACCCCTGCCAGGATGCTGATGAAGCTGGGCATTTTGCAATTTGGAAACCTGTGCCTCCAGAAGGGTAGGCCAGATGCCAGAGCTCTTTTCTTCTACCAGGTGTCTAGCATTCAGTGCGTGATACATCCAGAAGTCGTTCTCATATTGTGTGCTCTATACAGGTACATTTCCCTGGGGGATGTGGCATGGCGAGGCCTGACCCCCCCTCCAGCTGTGCGAGTGCACTCCATCACGCCAGCTTCACTGGCTGCTGATTCCGCCAAAGCATTTGCCACGCCAAAGGACTACTTTCTTGTGAGTGGCTTGAGAAACCAACCTACAAGTGTCCTTCTAGTCCCCCCACTTTCCCTCCCCGTTCACCACCTCTATTGTTAAGTCCTACACTCATTCAAATGTCTCAGGTGTGGAGGAATCGAGTTACCAAAACTCAAGATCCAGTCAGCATATGGAGGCCGATCCCTCCTGAGGGGTATGTTTACATGGGCTGTGTGGCAGTGGGGGGCTACGACAAGCCAGCAAAGGATGACCCCCGCTTGACAGTGCACTGTGTTCGCCAGGACTTGGTGAGGCCTGCGGAGGTGGAGGAGGCGGAGCTGTGGCATACTGCATCCAGATGGGAACATTCATGGGGTTGCCATGTGCATCAGGTCAATAACACAGCAAGAACATTCATTGCGGTTAGAAGTAGAGAGGAAAGGGGGGGTATTGAGAATGGGTGGGATGTTTAAACAGTGCTTATTGCATGCAGTTGTGACTAAAGGGTAGCGCAGCTTGCAGCCGTCCAACTTGTGTCTACGCTACCATTACTTAATTTGTCTACATTAGTGACTTCTGGTATGTACACCAGAGGAGCTACCGTTCCTTGATACAAACATCCACTTTACAACATCGCTTCCAGAGAGACAACCTCATGAAAGTCCTGCATGAAGATTTCACGAACCACCCTCCCCTATCACCTTGTAGGAACCAATATGCTTTAGGCAAGAAAGTCCTATCTTGTTTGTTCTCCTTCCGCCAGACAGCTTGTGATGCACGTTTATTGAATCACTTCCAATTACCGAAATATCTTCCAATCGTCTTCCAAAATCCTTTGCCTGCGGCAGGAGAAGCACAAGAGAGTTAGAACATAAGTACCAAACAATACAAATTCAGGGCGAGTTGACCTGTTTGTTTCCTTCAATTACAAATCACTGCATTCTTTGCGTCTAGAACGTACCTTGAGGGTTGTTGCAATCCGCGATCCACCGGTTGAGCTTATCCTGGCAAACGCTCGCCGGCTCTTTCGTCTGTTTCGTCGTGCAGTACCCATCAATGCCTTTTATACTCTCGACCTCAATGCACGCCTTCCCTGCCAGCTCGAAAATTTTGAGGGAAAGAAAACGTACGAAGCAGGCGCGAGGGGGAGAGGTAAGGGGGTGGGCGATGAGCTTAAAACCAATATCTTAGTAAGGTCTGCAGCTACCACGTGGTGTGAGTGCCATTCGTTTCTTGTTTCATCCCTCGCAGCCAAGCATGAGAGGAGTTCCTCAGTGTCTCGAGATGCGCGTCACCTATTGCCAATTAAAGATGGGAGGGGATAAAGGGATTTACCACCTTCTTCACAGGGAAACCTCAAGGCAATACCCCGGCGGGATTCATTGAGGATCTCGACAATGTGTGTTTGTATAGCCCATGATTGCGAAGGCAACGTCATCGTACACCGCGTGAACGCGGGACGAGTCCGCGAAGGTTACCATCATTCCAAATACGAACCTACACACACCATGCTTCCGCGCTTATGACCTGTTGGCCACGCGGATTCGTTGTTACAAGCGTAACACCCTGTGGTTCTGTGACTTACCATCGGATGTATACCCCTGAGTGCCAAGAAACCGAACAGGTCGAGCAGCAGCCGTGGAAGCGAACGATGCGAGAGTGACGGTGACGGCAAGCAGGAGAACGAGAGCCGCAAGCAGGTTGAAACGTGCCATGATCACTACTAGCGAGACTACGAGCGAGACGAGGCTTGATTGAGACTGGCCGGGTGTGGAAGGAAGTTCAGGAAGCGAGAAAAGGAGCTAAGATTCGTGGGATTGGTGTTGGAAGAAACTCTTGTGGGTATTTGTGTTTGTCTGAAAGGGCACAAGTCGGGGATGTGAATGGTGACGCTGCAGCGGAGTTAGCGGAGGGTTCACCATCAAGCGCTCAAGGCGGAGGCGTTGGGTGAGACGCGTTCCAACTTCCAATTATGATTCATTTGGATGGGATGCTTGACTTCGAAGGGAAATATTGCATGGTGGAGAGCGCTAAGAACGTTCCCAGTACGGTAATTAGGCTCTTCTTGAATCACGAATGGCTTTCCGATCAAAATTGACCGCGTTGGAGGGAATGTATGGTGCCTGAAGTTGTATGCATTCTCTCTTCCACCTGGACTGCCCGATCGTATCCACCTATCGAATTGCTTTTGAATCTCAATTCCGACATCACTAAGGGCGCGTTCCTGGCGCGTGTCAAGATTGACACCAGCCAGGAACGTACCCTAAGAAATTGTAATGGTGGCCGAAACAGAAAGGGCTGGTAACTCGGGTGCGACATGACCAAAACAAGTCACAACACAAGCTCGTCACTGGTTTCAGCTCAGTACACCTTATACAGCGCCCGGGAGGCTACGCGAGCTTCTATACCCTTAATTGACCGCCAGTCCGACCACATTACCCATGAAAATATTTGCCTCTGGTGCTGTCCCACACCAGGAACTGTAAAAATCGCCGTGAGTTGCGGTATCAATTGGGAGTGAATTATATGAGCTACACGCTGATCAATTACATCATATATACGAGTGTATTTCAGAATTCTTGAAAGCTGAAAGGTTACACTCTCAACAATTCCATTAAGACATATCCTTATCAATTTCATTGTAAAATATTGTTTTATTATGAAAAAAAAGTATAGAAAACCAAAAATGGTAGAAGTGTATCTGAGTCCTCAATATGATCCTAAGATTGCTTACAGGTTTTCGAACACGAATTTATGATAGTGTAAGTAACTTCACGCCCAAACACATCGGCACATGCCACTATGGAATCGAATTGGTTTGTCCGAAGGCGTTCCCTTCGCTCGGCCACCGCTGCCCACAGTAGTGAAATCTTGGGTTTAAGGTTTAAGGTTTTATTGAGGTCGTAACCTGTTTACAAACATGCAAGCAGCTAGATAAGGATACAAGCTACAGCTCGGCTCCCGCCAGGGGAGCACGTAGGAATACGTCATCCTCCCACCACGAAGGGTGGAGGCACCCAGAGAAGTGGATGCAAATCCAGCTGACATGTGGCAGTGCGATGGTTTAGGGAGGGCGGAATGGGTCGGTGAGGAGCCACGTGGTTCTGAAATCTGGGTGAATCGCTGGGACATTGGGTTCGGAAAAGATGAAGAAGCGGTGCTGGGTGGCAAATTTGATGCGGCGGGCAGCCTTGGCTCTCTTTTTCTTGGAACCATTGGACGCGCGCCAGAGAAGAATTTTGAAGGCCATCAGGAACAGGTTGAGGACGGTGTGGAGAGCTTCGTGGGAGTTGAATGGGGTCTATCTGTATCTATGGCTGCAGCGGGAGTTCCAGATGACCTTCGCCGCAGCCCCAACTAGCAAGCTCCACGGGGCAACTTGTCCTGCCGCTGAAGCGAGGGGGAACAGGGTCAGAGCTGCAGTGGTGGAGACTCCCAGATGTGAGCGCGCGGTACGTTGAAGCGCTTCGGTAAGCGGTTGGGCCACGCCACATTCGAAAAAAATGTGAGGAAGATCTTCGACAACTCCTTGATTACAGCCGCCGCAGATTCCCTTGTCAGCTGCGTAGAGAAATCTGGAACCTGACGGCAGGGCTCGTGAGTAAAGCCTGAACAGCACGTCGCGTTGGGAAGATGGTTGCTCCGTTAGGAAATCGTGGGTGAGGTTTGGAATGAGACTGGGTCCTGGGTCCGGAAGGATGTTCATCCAACGTTGGGCATGTGGAAGAGGTTGCTGTGAATATGCTAAGTTCCTGATAGCTGCTAGCGAGGGGGCGCCTTCCTGCAGAATTTCGAACCGCGCCGCTAAACCCGCACCCGAGCAGAAAGTCCCGCCTAGCCACCGGTCGACGACGTACACCTGCACCGTTTCTCGACAGGAGAGGAGGCAGCGTGCCTCGGCGTCCTTCGAGATTCGTCCGACAGAGTCAACACGGTGTGCGTAGGCTTGGAAGGAGGCGTCAGGTAGAACGGCTTCGACTTCGTAGGCGTGGTGGGGGGGGGGCGTGCATGTCGGCTGCTCTTAACACCCAGTCACCGGGGGATAGAGGGACGAGGCAGTGAGAGGAGGAAAGGGCGGCCCACCATTCGTCAGGCATCGCGTCGTAGACCTCATTAAGAATGCGTCTGCTGCAAGGGTAAACACGAGGTGGGTATTTAAGCATGATTTCGGCCTCAGTCATTCGTCGGGCTCCAGTCGCGTCGCGACGAACGATGTGGCCGATGCGTACTTCCTCCGTGAGGAGGAAGACCTCGTCTTTGAGGCGTCCGAAGGGGCGTTCGTCCGACTTGAGGAGGAAGCGATTGTAAGGGACTGGTTCTGCCAAGATGCACCAGAACTCAGGGCGTGGGGGAAGGATGGTGAGATTCAGCTTCGCGAGCGCCTTGACTTCTTCTCGCAGACGGGCGGGCACTGAGTCAGGCAGCGCCGGGGGGAAGTCCTCGTGGAGCAGGAAGCCATGAAGTCCAAAAGGTATTGGAACCAGCTCCCTGGCGACCGCTGCATTGGGAAGGTGGGAGAAGCGACGTAAGGCGCGTTGAGCGTTGAGCGCAAGGATTTGCGTGGAGGGGCGGATTGCACCGATCCCGCCGTGTTCGACCTTATTGTAGATCGTGCTGTGAGTGAGGAGGCGTGTGGTGCGGCCTTCCGCGCGGTATTTGGATGGAGAGCAGGTTCCCGACAGCCGCGTCTATGGCTTGGATGGAAGGTTCGGGGGGAGGTTGGAATCTACCTGGAAAGGAGAGGGTGGAGTTAAGGAAGATGTTGGAGAGATTTTTCCGGCAGGTAGATGAGGCATGGAGTTTAGCGAGGAAGCAGGCCGAGCGATTTATTTGCGCCTGCGCTCTTTCCCAGGTGACCTCAGATCGGCCTGAAAGGCCCACATGGATCCCCAGAATGCGTTCGAACTCTGATTCGCCCCGAATGGGAATGGTGCCCGCGTAAGTAACCGTAGCGGGGGGGATATTAAAAGGAAGGATAGCACACTTGGCCCAGTTAGGGTGTTCACCTGACACAGCAGCGAAGGAAAGGAGAACGTGGGATGCAGTTTGAAGCTCTTTGTCAGAGTTAAGAAAGATAGTCACGTCGTCGGCATAACATGCCATGAGGCGGCCCTGTGTGCGAGAAATGGGGAAACCCGGGAGGAAGTGGGAGGAGTAACGGTGAAAAATTTCGATGGCACATAGGAAAAGGAGGGGGGCGAGGGGACACCCCTGGCGGACACCAGAGCGGACAGGGATGGCAGGTCCACATAGGTTGTTGACCGAAATCCTTGTGGTAGTCCCAGTGTGCATAAGCCGCACCCAATGGAGGAAGGGGGGGGGGAGGCCGAGAAATGCGAGGCAGGAGAGCATGAACTCACAGTCAACTAAGTCGTAGGCCTTGCGTATGTCGACCGTGAGGGCCAGGAGGGGAAGGTTCTGCGTGGTAGCCCAGTCAAAAATGTCCAGCGTGTCATTAAGGGTATCCCCAATCTTCCTGGACTTAATGAATGCCGCCTGGGAATGGTGAATGAGGGAGGGAAGAAGGGGCTGAAGTCGCAAGGCGAGGCATATAGCAAGTATCTTATAGTCAGAGTTCATCAAGGTTATCGGTCGGAGATTGTCAAGGACGGTGGCATCGCCCTTCTTGGGGATAAGCACTGTCCGTCCTTGAATCATGGGGGGAGGGAGGGCAGAAGGCGAGGAGAGAAATAGAGAGTGAATGGCGGGAGAGAACTTAGTTCGAAAGGAGCGGAAGAGCTCGCCTGGTAAGCCGTCCGGTCCAGGAGTCTTGCCGCGCGGGAGCTTATTGATTGCTGCTGAGATTTCCGCCATGGAGAAGGGCTGAGAGAGGCGGTGAGCGATGTTAGGGGGGACTTGTGAGGGGGGGAGGTGAGACCAGAATTTATCGTCTGGCCGCACAGGTTGCGAGGCGCTGTAGAGTTCGCGGAAGTAAGATGTGCAGAGCTCGCTCATGGCAGGGAGTTCAGAGACAAGCTCGCCTGCAGGGGACTGAAGGGCAGTGACCAAGGAGGCCTGAATGCGAGAGTTGATGCCTACCAGCAGGGAGGAAACCCCCATCTCCCGGGACCTCCTACTTTGAGCTTGGCTTTGAGAGCTATGTCTGAAGCGCAGGAGGCTTCATAACGGTCGAATTGTTGAGAGACCGCACGCAAGTGCTCAGATAACGCGGAGTCTGTGGGATTGACTGCGAGTGCAATCCTGAGGTGGCTGACCAGATTTTGTAAATGGTCCGAGGTTTTCTTGATTCGAATTTTCTCCTGTCGACCGAAGGCTTTGAGCTTGTTGCACAGGGATAGCTTCCAAGCGTCCCATGCTTCTCCGTGAATGTCGGAAGGGAGGTCCAGGCATGCCGTAGAGACGATCTGCGCGGTGTGCGGGCGTTGGAGAAGGGCGTGAGGGAGCCGCCAGGGCCTGGGAGCCAGGTTGGGGGCTTCACAGCTGAGAACGCAGGAGGGAGATAGGTCGTGATCGGTGAGTTCTTGGGACGCAGAAGCGTATTGCGCGTCAAGGACTCTGGAGGATAAAGATGACGAGACGTAGATCCGGTCGAGGCGGGATGCTGTGGGGGGGGGAACCTCTGGGAGGGCCCGAGGTAGGGCGAAGAACGAAAACATTGGCTTGTTGGGGTATGATATGCGAAAGGAGTCGACCAATGAGTGCCGCTGGAGGGCAGCGGATAGGATCAGGCCTTCTGAGGTTTCGTGGGCCAGGGGAGGCCTGTTACGGTCCTCCGCCGAGCAAACCGCATTGAAGTCGCCTGCCACTATAGTTCCTGCTGAGGAGGTAGGGGAGTCGAGCGCAGACGAGAAGAGCGTGCGCCACCAGGGGCGTCTGAGAAAGGGGGTGGACGGGGCATAGACAGCAATCAGGCGAAGCTGCTCGCCGAGAAAGTTGATGTGCAGGGAGAGTATTCTCCCGTCCGGGGAAGGTTCCTGGGAGGAAATGGAAATTTGGCTGTGGAAGATGAGCACCGCGATTCCTCCAGGTTTGGATCGGTTGAGATAGGGGGAAGGACAGTACGCATAAGAGGAGGGTTTAAGCGTAAGGATAAGTCTGTGGAAATTCAAGGTGAGCCGGGTATCTATGAGAATGAGAATGTCAGCTTTGGGGTCTCTCTTATTGTGCCATCCTCTAAGGTCATTAATTTTCTTTTGCTTATTAATCCCGTTCACATTAATGCATCTGATCGTGAGTGGGGTTAACATTGGCTAACCGTTTTAAACCCCCACATGCGTGAGCATGTGCATCCACGGGGTAGGCAGGGGGCGGGAGGTTGGGAGGAGAAATCCTGTGGCAACTCTCCTTTGAGGGGGATACAGCAGAGTATACTGACAAAAGACAGAGCGCCTATTCCATACAATGTGCCAGGGCTAAGCCAGAGCAGTGCCGCAAGGCAGCAGCCTAGGAGCAGGCCTACTGCAGAAGAGCCTTGATGCGGTGATGCTGCACCAGGGTCTCGGCCTTCCAGGCCCCGTATTTGTCCTTGGAAACGTTCTGGTGCGCAGGGTCCTGCAGCCTGTTGCGGTGCTGCTCGGAGCTGAGATGAAACATCGCGCTGTCGAGCGCGATGCCGCACACAAAGTCGCAGATCGAACAAGCCCACACCTCCACGTCGAGGTCCAGGCCAATGAGGAGCAGGCCCGGGTCTTTCTTGAACGCGCCGTGGAAGCGTGCTGTCCGAGGAGCTTGCCTGAGGAGAGGGGGGGGTGAGGCGCAGGGAACACAGAGAAGGGGAAGCGGGGGAAGGGGGGTAGCCAGACCAGAGCCAAAGGTGGCAAGGAACCAGTAAACGACGATAAAGGAATATTCAAGGAGGAATAGACCCAACAAGTAGGAAGGGCAGGGAGGCGCCAACAAAGGTAAGACCGGGGGGGGGGGGGGGGATATTACCGTTAACCGCCTGCAGCGCGGACATGGTGATGGACTGCCTGTTGGCAACCCGGTTGCGTCGGGTGATGGCGAAGCAGGCGTGGTCCTCAAGCCGATGATTGCTCGAGCACAGGGAGCACGAGTGACACGAGATGTTGAGAAAGGCAGGTTCCACTTGGTCCGGGATCCAGAGGATAGCCGAAATGCGCTCGAAAGCTGGGTCTCCTTCAGCCGCGACGGGGAGGCCGAGCATCTGAGAGTAGGCAGAGCCGTCATAGGGGTCCTTGAGCCGGTGAAAATGCAGAAGATCCGCGAGCCATGGGAGGTCATCGCCAGTTTTGCCGCGGAGCAGAGTCTCACGCAGGTCCTCGGGCTGAACACCAAGCGGCACGTTCCGCACCACCACGTACGTGTCGCCGCGAGCCTTGGCAGCCGAGAAATCCGGGTAAGGATCGACGTAGATCTTGACTTCGATCGGGCGGCTGTTGTTGAACCGCACAAGGAAAGGAACCGCAAACAGCCCACGGAAGATGCGTGCGTCGGCGGCAGAGGTCCAGGAGTAGATGTGGCGATGATACGTCCTGCGCGGCAGGCGCAGCGGCTCACCCGTGGCCGCGTCGAACTGCGGAACGGCACCGTTGAAGGCTGCCGAACCAGGGAGCGCAGCGGCGATCCGGGAGAGAATACTTTCCCGAACCTCCTCAGAGCACTCCGGAACATCACTGTGACCAGAGATAGCGGGTTCCGCCGCAGGGACCGGAGCTCGGTGCCCACCGAAGTGCGGTGACGGCGGAGGTTACGGTACCGCACCGACAGTGAGAGATTGGCAGCAGATCCGGCGGAGGGCTGCTCCACCGCGGCTTCCTGAACCGGAGGTTGGGGGCGAGAGGGCGGGGCGGACCTCGGCCGAGGCGGGACCGACGGACGGGAAGATGAGGGGGCCGTGGCCGCGGAGCTGCCAGAGGAGTTGGAGCGCTGCATCGGCTGCGGCACCGGCGCCGTGGCACTAGGCGCATTAGCCTCCGCACCAGAGGAGGTTCCTTCGCCGCACTGCTTCTTAGCAGCAGGCTCTTCGTTAAGTTCCGGCGGGACGCCGTCGGGGAGATCTTCGAGGACGTAGTCACCGAGGTCGGTGAGCGTATCTTCCCCAGCAGCAAGCTGCTCGTCAGACATGACGGCGTCCGGGTTGTGGTGAGAGTCCATGGTGGCGAAGGATGGGTGAGGAATCAGGGGCGGAGGTCGTAAATACCACCGCCATTCCAACAGCGGGGCCGAGCCAGAGACCGGAGCAATGCTGAGGCGACATGGCACAGGGCCGAAGCGCACGAGAGCGGGGACCAGGGTGAGGAAAGAGAGTTGAGCGCTTCGGCAATGGCCTAAGCAACTCGTCAGACGTGATTGTTTGGCAGATAGGCCAGACGAGGCGTGAGCGCAGGCATGTCGGTGGGTTGAGAGGCCCGCGTAATAGCCAGCAAGGTAAGCTAGAAGCTTACACCAGCGGAAGGAATAATGACGAGGGCACCAGCTCAGGGGCGACGCAGAAGGCTTGCATGGAGGCAAGCAGCACAGGGCTTTCGAGCAACACAAGCGAGGAAGCGCAGGGGAAGGAAGGCTCCAAAGGAAGAGGGAAGCCTTGGAAGCATGAGGGTCGTAGAGGAAGAATCGGCTGGAGAAACTGCCTGAAATTACGGATCCAAACGTTTGATCAGACCCAACCACCACCAGCAAAGCACTTACCTGGTCCGTAAACCTGGGAGCAAGGTCCACGTAGCAAAAACTTCCTGAAAACCAGCAACCAGAGACCTCGTTAGCCAGGGATTGGTCATACTCACCTTCCTGAAGAACATCGCGTGTAGCCTGCCAAAAAGAGGAGGCGAATACAGTAGAAAAGTCTTCAGTTGGATAAGGAGAGAATGAGCGAGTACAAACGAGGGCGAGGAGCAGTAGGGAAGCGGAGAGCTTCATGACGGAGTTCGGGAGCTTTTGTCAGCTGCTGTCACAAGGAACCATAGTGAAATCTTGGGGCATTGGAATGCCCCGACACGTGGTAACGTGAATTTCTTCGCTGTCCACCTTTGGGATTCCACCTGTAGGTGCAAGTTCGCTCGCTGGCACAAGAAACCCGAGGACTCGAGATTGACGTGCCATGCCCACCAATCAAAATCAAAACCGGTACATGCGTTGTCATATCCTCCAGGTCCTTGACACAAGTCACACAACCGGCGGCTCGCCACGTAAGGTTACACCATCACTTTCCAATTGGTTTGTACAAGGAAGCTCCATGTAAGGAACGGAGGTAATCGGGGATGCCACAGGAACTTCAAATTTCCCCGAATTTCTCACTTCCACTATCTACGCATCACAGAATTCCATAGCTTGCTCGACGTTCGCGTAGTGGGAGACTCTTATCGTTCAGTATTCACAAAAGCAAGCATTCGTCTGTTGCTACATTCCGGTGGGGTTCTCTCGCTTTGCTTACTCCGAACAAGCAAGTTACTAGTTGCCTATTCTTCGTTCCGTAAACAGCAACCATGGCGGCTCTCGCCTCGTCCCGGTCCGTGTCCTCGCGCCTGGCGATGCCGTCCGCGGCGATGACGGCGAGCAGCAGCAAGCTGAGCGCCTCGAGCTCGGTCGCGCCGAGCTTGAAGCACAGCTTCGGGTTCTTCGCGCCGAGCAGCCGCGTGGTGATGGCGGCGGCCGCCGCCGGAAAGGACAAGCCGAGGGAAGGCTCCAAGGAGCCCGCGCAGGAGACACTACTGACGCCTCGCTTCTACACCACCGACTTCGACGAAATGGAAGCGGTAAGCCGCGTCGCCTCTGCTTCGCCGCGGCATTTCTCCTCCCCTGCTATAATCCCCCTCTCCTCGATCCCAAAAACACATGGATCGTATCCTCGATCCGCCATTTTCAGAACGGAATGCCACAGCTAATCGTTATTGCTTCTCATTCCACACCCCCTTCCCCCACGCTGTCCCCCGATCCACCGCGATCCCCCTTCTTCCCCCCCCTTGCAGCTGTTCAACCGCGAGATCAACCCGTACGTGAACCAGGCGGAGTTCGACGCGTGTCTGGAGGAGTTCCGGGCGGACTACAACCAGACGCACTTCGTGCGCTCGCCCCACTTCAAGGCGGCGGCCGACAAGATCCAGGGCCGCGCGCGCGAGATCTTCGTGGAGTTCCTCGAGCGCTCGTGCACCGCCGAGTTCTCAGGCTTCCTGCTCTACAAGGAACTGGGCCGCCGCCTCAAGAAGACCAACCCGTGCATTGCGGAGATCTTCACGCTCATGTCGCGCGACGAGGCGCGGCACGCGGGGTTTCTGAACAAGGCGCTGTCGGATTTCAACCTGTCGCTGGACCTGGGGTTCCTGACCAAGGCGCGCAAGTACACCTTCTTCAAGCCGCAGTACATCCTGTACGCCACGTTCCTCTCGGAGAAGATCGGCTACTGGCGCTATATCACCATCTGCCACCACCTCACGGCGCACCCCGAGTTCGCGTGCTACCCGATCTTTGAAAAGTTCGAGAACTGGTGCCAGGACGAGAACCGGCACGGCGACTTCATCACGGCCATGCTCAAGTGCTACCCCAAGTTCCTCACTTCGTGGGACTCGAAGCTGTGGGCGCGCTTCTTCTGCCTCTCCGTGTACGTGACCATGTACCTCAACGACCACCAGCGCGGCGCCTTCTACCGCAACCTGGGGCTGGACGTGAAGCAGTTCGACCTGCACGTGATCAAGGAGACGAACCGCACGTCGGCGCGCATCTTCCCCGCCGTGCTGGACGTCGACAACCCCGAGTTCGAGCGCATCATCGCCGTTGACGCCAACCTGGGCACGCCCGAGCTGCTGCGGCGCGTGCAGAAGCTGCCCCTGCAGGCGGCGTTTGTGGGCGAGCTGCTCGCCTGTCAAATGTTGTAGCCTATAGTGAGGTTTGTCTTAGGGGGTACAAAACTTAGGGTTAGCTATATGTACCCCAACCAACAACAATGCATCATCCATTTCTCATTTTGACATGGTATCAGTTAGGTTAGGATCCTGTGGGATCCCGTTTCTCCGTTCTCCGATCGTACCACCCGAGCCTGATCCTAGCTCTCGTTTCGCCCGTCTTGCCCGAGCCTAGTGCCGGCCCGATCTAGTCCCGTTCGTTCGTTACCGCTCGTTCTTCCTCCCGATCTAGCGTAGCCCGATCTAGCGTACCGCTGCAGGTTGCGCTGCGCTTTCCCCCCCCGCTGCCGTCGAACCGCGCTTCCCCCTCCCCCCCCCCCCCCGCTGCCCGTCGAACCGAGCTTCCCCCTGCTGCCCGTCGACCCGCGCTTTCCCCCGCTGCCCGTCGACCCGCGCTTCCCCCCGCTGCCCGTCGACCCGCGCTTCCCCCCGCTGCCCGTCGACCCGCGCTTCCCCCCGCTGCCCGTCGACCCGCGCTTCCCCCCGCTGCCCGTCGACCCGCGCTTCCCCCCGCTGCCCGTCGACCCGCGCTTCCCCCCGCTGCCCGTCGACCCGCGCTTCCCCCCGCTGCCCGTCGACCCGCGCTTCCCCCCGCTGCCCGTCGACCCGCGCTTCCCCCCGCTGCCCGTCGACCCGCGCTTCCCCCCGCTGCCCGTCGACCCGCGCTTCCCCCCGCTGCCTGTCGACCCGCGGTTCCCCCTGCTCGCGTCCTAGCCCGTCGCCCAGGCCCGCGCCCCAGCCCGTCGCCCTGGCCCGGCGCCTTTGCCCTACCCGCCCGCGCGCTCCTGCCCTAGCCCGCGCGCTCCTACCCTAGACGCCCGCCACACCTTACCTACCCGCCCGCTCTTGCCCGCTCTTCCTGCCCGTTCCCCCTTGCCGCTGCACCCTGCTTTCCCTGCCAATTCCGTTTGCACACTATGGCGACCCCTCGCGTCCTTCGTTTCGACGCTGACGGTAGACCTCTTGATTTTTCCGTCTGGCTTCTTCGTGCTCGCCGTCTGTTAGAGAGTCAGGTCCAGGCAGGCGAGACCCTCTGGGCGCACGCTACTGGTGCCCTACCTGCGCCCTCCGACCCTACGCCTTTAGGACCTGCCCCTGATGACGCCGCTAGAGCCCGCTTTGCCACTCAGCGAGCTGACCAGACGGCTTGGAAGTCACGTGACGCTGCGGCCTGCATCGCGCTCAGCAGCCTCCTCCCTGAGTCTGAGGAGGTTCACTTCACTCAGGTTCGCACCGCTGCTGAGTACCTCACTGCGATTAAGGCCCGCTACTCTACTCCCGCTGCTGTCTCTCTTGGCCGCCTGTTCCTCCCATTCCTGTTTCCTGACCTAGCGTCTTTTGAGCGCTCTGCTGACTTGATCACTCACCTCCGCTCGCTCGACGCTAGTTACCGCGCTGCTTGCACTGAGGCACAGCTTGCACTGCTTCCTCCCCCTATGGCGATCACTATCTATTTCATCGCCACTAGCCTCCCTGACCGCCTTGCCTCCGTTCGCGACGCGCTTCTGCTGAAGCACCCTAGTGAGCTCACCGTCGAGGTCCTTGAGTCTGCACTCAAGGACGTCGAGAGCAACCTTCGCTCGGTAGCCGCTGCCTCTGGTGCTGTGCCCCCCCCACTCTTCCACGGGTGCACAGTCCCGCAGTTACCCACCTTTACTGCCTCACTTGCCACTGCCGCTACTGACGCGACTGCAGCTGCTGTTACGACTGCGTCGCGGTCCCGCGGTAGGAGTGGCAAGAAAGGCGGTTCTGGTGGTGGTAGTGGAGGTGGAGGCGGAGGTAGTGGAGGTGGCGTTGCGCCTGGCGGCGGTGGAGGTTCAGGGCCTGGAGAGGCGCCTCGTGCAGTGACTGGTGACTCCACTGCGCCTGCTGGTGGTGGCGACGCCCGAGTTCGTCAGTCGCCTCCTGTACTTCCTGCCCCGGTTGGTGGAGCAGCGGCGTGGTACCAGGCTCAGCGTCAGCAGCAGCTTCTGCAGCAGCAGCAGCCCCTCTCCTCCCAGCAGCCTCAGCAGCAGCAGCGGCAGCAGCTGGCTCCAG